CGCCTTATGGCCACCATTTGCCCATTTGCTTTTCTTACCTTAATCGATGTAAAATAGAGATTCTTCAAGCGACCAGAAAACTTTAGCCCAGCAACTATATGTATATGGGTCAGGGCAGCGCGTCTAAAATTTTTCTGACGCGTAGTTTTTACGACAGAAACAGATATTGCTATTGCTGTCTCTTGCTTATACTAGAAGTGCCATTCCTAACGGTCAAATTTATTAAAAATAGCCGCCTACTATGGCGTTTACGTTTTAAATTTGCGATCCAAAACAGTAAACAATCATTTTCAAATTTTATTCAATTTTAAAATTGCAAATAATAAATACTAATCGTGTTTAGCGGTGTTAGCGATTGTCAACCTGGTAATACATACGAGAAACTCCAACGGACATAGCAACTGAGAAGGTCAGATGATTCAAAAAATAAAAGGTGCCTATATGATTAGGAAGTGCAAAAAAAGCCGTGAAAAATCTTTAACCGTTATTAACCGTTGAAGCTTATCTGGACAACCGAATGAGTAAGTGATATCCCTTTCTCCTAGCCGATCGTTAGTTTCTTTGTAAAGATTCAGATATATTAGAAATAACTTCAAAATCTCTCTCTCCCGAAGTTCTTCTGGTTTCCCTCATAGATGCATTTCTCATGAACACTGCCCATAACATAGACCGTCGACTTCAAACAAAAAGGAAGCTTTTAATTTCTTAGCCCACATGAAGAAATTGGATAATAGCTATAATAATTATTTTGCCATATTGGATAATAGCTGATAGTAACTCAAATTCGGAAACTAACGCACCGAAAACTAACCACCATCGCGAGATTGTTATTTTGCGGTAGAAAAAAACTGCTTTCTTCTGGTACCAGAAATAGCACATGTTCGTTACGACAGACAGTCCGCCGAAATGTTCCTCAGCTTAAATAAAAAAATAAATAAAAAACAGGTGTTTTTATTACATGTAATTAAAATTTTTCCATAATCAAATATAAGAAAGTAAAAACGCATATATATATATATATATATATATATATATATATCGATTTTCTCGCTGATAAATGCGGTATCATTGGATGCAGTGACCCTACTCATTCATCGTTTTTATATTTTTCGTATTTCTTATCAAAATTGCCTACGCCCGCCCAGATTCGAACCCGCACCACCTCTGCGTCCGTCTCGTCAGTAGCCAGGCAACTTTACCACTGCACTATTACGGGCACATGTGCGTGTTTTCACTCTGTTCAGGCGAACATGAGGCCATTAAACTAAAGACCATCGTCTGTTAAACGTTGATAACATCACAGGAGTGTGAGGGCTACAGTCATAATATACGTGCTCGAAGTGATTGTTCTGGTGGTGAACATTGCGTATACAACACGCATGGGAACTTACAGGCAAACGCTACACATATGCAAAAACAGTGGAAGACGGCGCGGTAAACCTATTCTGCTGGTGGACGAACATTGGCAATAGGGTGTGCCAGATCCGTCTGCTACAGACAGTCAATGTTAGCCTACAGGGTCAGCATTTACCAGATTTCCGTAATTTTGTGATAATGTGTTCGGCGCGTTTTACGCCTTAGATTTGTTCCGAATGCTCGAATCGTATTGGCTTATTTAGTGATTGTCTTCGTGTATTGGCTAGTCGAAACAGACGGACGTTGCTGATATAGCAACCTGGTAAGAGTAGCTTAATTTTTATGATGCCAATTCATACAGGAAATCAATGCAATCACTTAAAAAATTTGCGATGATCAAACGTTAATGTGCGAACTACATCGAAGATCAACTAGCCAATATTGTATCAATCGTGTTTAGTCATGCAGTTTGTATCGGCTGAGTTTTATTTACAACAACAACAATGGTTCACGGTGACTATAGTTTGTGTGTGGCGCGATAAATTTGAATGTAACCGATCAAGCGTTCGCTCTTCCCCTCCGGCTGTTCCTTGACTATCGGCTGATTTTATGAAGAAAACGCAACCTAAGATAGAATAAATATTTTTTTTTTGTACATTATTAAATCTTCGCACTAACAAGAACACCTTAATTTTTCTTTTAGTGACATTTCACATTCGCAATATGTATGTGTGTGTGTGTGTGTATATATATAATTATCGGGATAATTTACCAGTATGATCAAATGGATTTGCTCAGTCGTATTAATCAGCATTTTAGCTGGTAACATAGTCCCTTCGAGATTCAGCATCAGTAGCGTTGCCATTATCCTGACATGATTAACTAAGTTACTTACCGCTAAAAACGTGCTATGCCCTCTAGCTAGCCACAATCAACTAGACGATTGTGTCGCTTAAGTACGCGACAGCATTGAACGCCAATAATCTTTTACGTCGTTCGTCAGTGGCATCGTCCGATAGATCTTACCACGTTTGCTTTTGCCATTTCATCGTGCATTCTCTATGAGTCTCACTCAGCTTTGCAACTTTCCAACCGCGGCTAAGAAGTCGCCACTTGATCAATCTGGTTATTTTTAGTTTTGTAAGCAGCCTTTCTTGACTGTTGTCAGCTTGGTCGAGCCATCCGCTGTTATACCGCTATGCGAATGACCAAAGTGTATAGACCTTCCTCACCATCGGAATGGTGCTTCTGGGAAACCTTAGCCCACTGGAAACCGTGAATCTGCGTAGTGTTCAGTAAATCGGTATACCAATTTAATTCAGTTTAAGCGTGCTGCGTTGCAACAGATTTACCAGTTTAAAAGCAGTTTTGTACTAGTAACCCGTCCGTTCCTTGGGAGGTTGCCGATCTTTGTCTTCAGTAATGGCTTGCTTTTGTTGTGTACACTTGAGCGGACGCGGCGAGAACACGCTGTAGCGGGCAGACCAGCGGGCCCGTTGTTCCTCGAACAAAAACAACCATAAGTGTTAATATAGCGAAGTAGACAGTGAGAAATATGGTGATAAACACAATATCGTCGGCTTTGCAGACCCATCGCGACCGATCGGCAGCGGTGGTTAAAGCCACGCTTTTGATCTGCTTTTCAGACGAACCGATCACGATTTCCAAAGTACTCTCGATCAATCGTTCAACAAATACACGTATACATCGTATGGAATGAGGCAAAAGTAAGTTTAGGCAGTGGGAAAAGATATAAGCTTAGAAATGGGAAAAAGTAAAGTTGTATTAGAAAAGAATAAAGTTTTCAATTTGATACCATAAGTCTGCTTTTTTTTCACAATTGTAGTGTTAACGTTTTCCAAATTGTAAACTTTCCATTGTTGTAGGTAGTTTTGCCCATTACTTTTGCTGTGCCCTATATATTCTCTATCTAAAAATGACAACCAGTGCAGGATTTTAGTGGCTTCTATTGATAGCCGCCCCTCTATGTAGGTGCCCTCATTACTAGTGGCTACATTCTCTGAAATATAAACATACTGCAATTAACACAGGTCACAGTTATGCACACGAAGGGTCCTTTCTAGCCTCGGCCAACAGCCAACCACCCGTCGGATTACGAAGCTTAGCAGACGACTTAACGATCTTTGTGTTTCTACTTGTAGTATTACTATTACGAGACTGAATCAGCAACATTTCTTAAAAGAGGATGAAAACGATACGGTAAAGAACACGCGCAGACGTGTCTTATCCACGCATATGGAGAACGCGCACCGCGCTACTTAGTTTTCAGCTATCCAGCTCCTTATCACTGGAAGTCACCTGCGCTGACGCCGCCGTTGAACTCGGACGATTACGCGACGCCCGCCTACTGCATAAAAGCCGGTCGTATAAGGCTCAGTGAACGGTTACAATTGGGTGGCTAAGTCATGCAAATGATTATGGTAATAATGGCGGCCGTAACGGAAGCGACGTTCGAATACTGGCTGACCTTTGTATTTCGTTTCTTTGTTCACATTCGTTGCAAGCCGCTGAGTCAACTATATTCTATTTATCTTTGTAATTTTAATGTTCAGTTGATGACACGATTCTGTCACACTGGATAAGATTAAGTTGTTTTTGGTACGTGAGCGCCTCTATTGTTGAAATGAGCAGCGACGACAACGCCGCTGACGATGACGTCTTTGCTGTGTAGCAAAAAGTTGAACTAAATTTATTGAGACGTTCTTACTACTTTTTCTAAAATTGGCTCCGAATCTAGCAGTAAGGGCTGTGACATATAGAGAATCGCATACGGTACTGGTTAGTGATCATTGCGAACCAGTCTTCTTTCTATATGATGTGTACAAGAGGACATGGGCGCCGAGAAGTCCTTAGCATCGAAAAAATACATAGTCTATGAAGTTTCTGTAGGACATTAGTCCTTTCGTTGAAATTCCAATTGAAATTTAACTTTTGGTACGTCTACAGAATTGAAAAACGCTCTTATTATTGTTCGAATGTGAACCGTTCTTCCATCGAGTAGAAAATCGTAACGCGCGCAGCTCGACAGGATCCAGCCGCGTTGCATGTATCCCTTTCTGCACTTCCTACGTAGATATCGATTGGGTCCGGTTGTTCTCTGCCAACGCCCTATCGACGAGCAATGAAAGCATCATTTTGGGTATCATTTTTTATATATAAGCCCAGTTAGATGTCTGTATTTCTCTACGGGAGCTTAGACTAGCAGTCTCAAATTAAAAGCCATTGTTGGTCTATGTGTACTATAAAACGCCAGCCTGCGTACTATAGTTGACTTGCTAGATGCACACCGAGCGATTGACAGCACTGTCCCGTTACAGCAGTGAAGCTGAGGCACTGGAAGTGAGACCAAGCAGGCAAACGCTAATATCATGTGACCAACGGCCGCCATATTGGTATTGGGCTAAGTAGGCAAAAGATAAAAAAAAAAAAGGGGTTTTACTTGCTCATGACAATCACCTGGTTGTATGATTTCTGGTGTAGCCCTTTGGCGCCCCATGAGCGACACATGAAAAGCGACACCGACGATTGTTAGCTCATTCTAGACGTTTTTATGCATTATACAAAAACGTGTTGAAAATAAATGGAGAATCATTGTATCAGAAACGTTTTCTTTCTTTATTTAGGCCGTCTACGTAATGGATGCGCAGCAAGCCACTCTATTCAACAACAAAATACGACGAAGCGTGTCACCTACCGGCGGAAACAAAGCATTAGAACTGTAAATAATTGTATTCGTTTCAATGGGTATCTGCGGTTACAATTTGAACCTATTGAGGCAAATTTAAATCAATTTTGATTTATATCTGTTCCTTTATTTTTATTTTAAGCAAAAAAAGGTATACTTTGATTCGATGCTTATCCTGGCGCGTAGTGGTCATAGTTTAGCGGCGAGAAAAGGGTGGCCGTCGAATTAGCTAAACTTTGGAAATAGTTACTCGTCATGCATTGCCATTCATCTATATAGGGTAAATTCTCAACATACTAAAACACAGTGAAGTGGATTTCATATCTATTTCTCTCGAGTAGCCTAACGGTGATTATCATCTTGTTTTCAGAAGCGGTAACAGAGAGTTGTCTTTACCCCCTGCGGAGTGCGCCTACACACGGCTTTAAGATGTTATACATTTTCAGTGTCGAACAAGGAACCATGCTCACTTTTGAGATGGACTACGCTTGTCAGAGGTACGTAATTGAAAGTTGAGTTATTAATACTAATAGAGAAGGCCTTAAACGAGGTTTTCCATAAATGTGCATCATTTGACAATTGATCAACGCTTTGGCCTTTTTAGATGCAACGCGTGGGACATGGGTCTATTGATTCTCTTTTATGTACAAAGTCATTAATCTATCCATCCATAGACTCTCAAACGATAGCATTGGCAGTGTCTATAACAAATGGGCCAAGTATTGAATAGTGACGTCAAACGGAGGTTGCTTAGAAAGCGCACGTGTTTCTTGCCAGAAGTCTCTGTCGTAAAAGCAATGGTAGTTTGTATAGAGATTCCGACTTAAACTCAAAAAGCACGAACAAATTTTAGTGGGGCAAAGTCAGTGTCACTCGACCGTGCGAGATTTTTTAGCTATTATTGGTACAGTGGCAAATCTCTTGATACAACTTTATTAATAGCCTTGCACTCCTCGCCCCACGTCGCATTTATCCTGCCCAGAAACATGACTGTTCAATGGAATTCCCTTATCTGTTGACCCTGGCAGCGCCAACGCCACACGCTTCGCCGATACCTGCCTCGATTTGTATACGTCTATATATATAAGCGGCTGATCAAGTAATTTCTTCAGCCTCAGCCAGCTGTGGCCTGATCAGATCAATGGCTAAACGTACTTGAAGTTTCACAAGTATGTGCTGTATATTTCTGTAGAATGGTTGACAGAAAAAAGATATGACAATTTTATTCTGACAGTAATAGGATGGGGTTAAAGAGTTACTTCACCAAGGGAGAAAGTCGTAAGCGAGTTAGTCCCTACCCCCTCGCGTCTGACAAGGTAAGATATCATGGCACTGTTGGTTTACAAATGTTTGTCGAGCAACGCGGCATTGAAACGGTTGGCCATCGTTTACACGAAAGATCAACAAAGAAAAACACCCGGAATACCTGAATGCAGTGGATAAATGATTGGACGTAGGCAACGAGACAATAACTCAGCAGACGTAGGGCATAATACGGGCATGGAGAGAAAGAATTATACTGGTGGACAGCGCATTAGCTCCGTATCTGTATGTAGTACATGGTATTGTACTGGTTTAATGGGTGGGCTAAAATTATTGCGCTAAAATAGAGAAACGGGTCGCTTCTTACAATCTATGAAGCGTATAATGATGTCAATGGCGTGCGTCTTCCATTTTTTAGTTGAAATACAAAAGGACAATCAAACTCGTAAAATGAGACAACGCGCCATTTATCTTGAAGAAGGGTGTCGTGTCTGTGAGCTGAATGATGTGTAGGTTATAGCGAATACGAATCGCTATATCTCTATAGAAAAGCGTCTTCATGCGCATTTTTTATGATAGGTAGCGACCTACTAGGCACCGTCTGCATAATACCCGGTAGCGGTCTAAGACTCATCTGACTAGATAACTTTACTCAGGCGATTCATCTTACTTTAACTTTTCATATTGTCGTGATACTTTTTCTTAGCGTAGCAATCCTCTCTCCTAATTCGCACGAGCGCATTTATTAATTGACTTTAAATAAAGTAAATATTTCGGGTTCTGTGCCCGATACTACCGTTAAACACCACCTAAGATAACCGACATCCAACGAAATATGCCCATGCCCGTGTATAATTGGATCCGAAATCTTTTCGTTTGGCCCCACAATGCATGTATCAATAGATAGATCATTAAATGATACAATATGATCTAATCGACTGCTATGTTCATCGTCGATGTCTACAGGGAAGCTTTATAGGGGGGGGGGGGGATTGTTTTGCGTCGCTTTAAAATAAACGGCGACAAATCAATTGCAGCATTAGACTCGAAATAAACTATTTCCAGTATATCATCAGGTAGGAAATCAGCTGCCGATAAAATAAACCGGATTCCCCTTAGATGAAATTCAGAAAAGCAACGTACCCAAAAAGGTCGAAAATACTATTTTCACCGAAAACGGTCGGGCTAACCGTTGAATACACGCATAGAGAAGCTGAACCAAAACTAACGTCGAAACTTATGGCTCTATTTGTATTTATCGTAATAGATTGGCCCGAATTTGCGGAAGTAACTGTATCGCCGCGTGACGATGTCTGGCACAAACTAGCGGTGCCTACACTCATCTATTAGAGGCTGGGAATATTGGACAGATAGACAACAGCGGTATAGTAGAATGAAATGTATCATAGGGGAACATATGGAGAGTTATTAAGAGCAGTAGGGGGCGGTAGTAGTAAGAGGGCGCAACTTGGCAGCGCGAACATTCCATTTCACGCAATCAGTGATTTAAGCAGTAAAAGTGGCAGAGGGAAACTAAGCGACTTGAATTTATCTTCGGGCTAAATTTTATAGACATTGTTTGGTGACGAGGGTTTGCAGCTTTTTTGGGGTGGAATGGGGCTGGGGTCGAGGGCGGCAGGGGCAGAAATAGGTAGCTTTTGAATGATGTTACGCTTTCTTTTACTGTAATGTAACTGGAATAATTTTTTTTTTTACACAGTTGGAATATTTACAAAGTTAGGAGAGCGAAGGAAAAATCGGTTGTGTCTATCTGCTGTTTCCACGTGCATCAAAAGCAGCCACTACTTGACTTACCATACATCTAACACTTCGACTAAATAATATAGATTTCAGCCTGCTACTTTTGTAAGTCAATAAGTCATCTCAAAGACATTTCAAATAGCAGTGATAAATTAATAATTGCGGCTTTATTCAATCACGCTATTCTATCTCATATATGTTGCTAGCAGGGCTTGAACTAGTAACCCCTGGTTTTTTCTCTAGAGGAATAGGATACATTGTATGAAATGAATTAGACGTACGAGTATGCGAGGCGTGCGTGTAACAATACAGAGGCATGATTACCCATTTACCATCACACGCACAGAGCGCGAGCTATAAATGCTACACTAAAGATCGCCAATTGTATTTTTGTTCATCTTTCCATGTCATCGCTGATATCAGCGACACCGTCATCGGTTCGACAAATCCTAAATCACAAACTGTGACGGAAGCTGTGGGCATCCGATCACTCCTTAATGTTACACGTCCACTGTCCTATGACGAAATGGTTCGACTCTGGCGGCTATTTTGACGTCGTGTCGTCGTTAGTGCTGCATTCGCTATAACTGGGCGTCATTTAAACGTCACTTTTGTACAAATCTACAGATGAACATTTACGACGCCTTCATTAGCCAATGCTACGGCGCCATATGCGGGGGGAACTTCTGATTTTAGTTACTATGTTGGCTATTCCTTCTTTTGGTGGCGTTCCTTCTATATCGTTCCCAGTGCACCGCTGCGCACAGTATGGCGTGTGAAAAGTACCAGTGGGTTTTGTGAGCGCCGATTTCTGTCGGAGTCGTCTGTGTCGTCGTATCGTAGTCTTTTTGTTAGCGTCATTTTCGATTCCTTGGTCGTTGGTCAAGCAATGAGCCATAGTCGAGGCGCTTACCGCTTTTTGAAACGCGTATTCGGACCTGCGTAATAACAACAACAAATACTGGTAAACTTCCATAAGGAAATAGTCATTCGTAATAGTTTTACCTTGTAACTACTGTCCACTACAACGGGGAGCAATATTTTTGTCTACGTGGAAACCTACAGAAAAATCGGCCTAAATCGAAAAGGAACAGCTTTCGAACTCGAATATTTGGTTATTTAAAAAACCATATATTTTCTTGCTAGCCCGGTTAGTTTATCAGTCGTTTACGCAATTTGTTTGACTGTCTAGTTCTGTTTTCCCATTATGATATTATGCATCCTCCATTGGCAACAATTTAATCCAACGACATAATTAAATATGACTTACTCACGAGTGCCTTTCGTCTGCTACCAACTCAGTCAAAATGCTATCCCTATTGTACATAGAATGAAGAATGCCAGTATTAGTAATAGCAGCAAATAAACGATTCACTTATATATTACAGACAAAACCGCGCGGGTTCATGTGGGCCAACATTTCTGTTCTGTCGATAGTCGATCATAAAAACGTTATGGAGAACTTTTCTCGCTACGTCTCGAAGAACTAGTCTAGTTTGATGATCTCCTTCATCCTGGATGCGTATCGTATCGACCACAGATCAACGATCTTGCGTCGTCCCCGCTAGTAGCTCACCGTTGCTTATTTTATCGCTGGACTGCGTCGCTCGTTGCACGCTTCTAGGCAAGCGCGTTTAAACGTCGCGCGTGCAGCTTTTGGCACAAGCGCAGCAGGCCCCTATTTTGACGCGCTGTCGACGTCATTTGGAACGGGCTGAGTTAGCTGTCGTTACCAAGTGCCCAATCTATTCAGTCCAATAGTGGATGCCGGGAGATAGGAGGCCTGGACGGTGAGCCTCGATAAAAATGTCCGTATTGCCATGCTGTGTCTAAGTCTATCAAACAGCATACAACAGCAAACATAGCATAATCGTCCGCACGAATTTATCTTTCCCTTTTCCTCGTTTCCCCTTTTTCTCCTTTGTCTAATATTTTTTGCTAAGTTTTGTCAATTCATTGTTATTCCTTTCGTAGTTTTGTGTTCCCGTTACTATTATTCTACAACAGGGGTAACGCCGAGTTCACATTACATAGCTATAATATATATATAGCACAAGTGGGTGTTCCTTCCTAACGTATCTTAGATGTGACCATTTCTTAACGCTGGCTACAAATATGACTACGCCAAAGCGAATTGGATGCATTTATATGCTGGTAGCGTATAAAAATTTCTCATGTTTTCAGTGCCTATACTTTTCCTAAATGTTTCAGCTGGTAAGTTCCGAAAACATGGGTAATTATATTTCACAGACTAATCGAACAGCATCAGGGATTCCCTGAGACGATTGACTCCCCTCTTTAGCAAGGCATATTTACGTTCAGGCTCAAATTCAGACAACTACGTATACTTTAAGTTCAGTAGGCAGATACTCTGACCATTACGCCACCATCAAACGCGAACATCTCACACAGGCACAGCGTTGCGCGACGCATGCGTGTTACGACTGTTCCGGACTGAGCCAGACTGCAGGGTGCGTTAACAGCATCACTCACCGTCACTGTCTCCATCGTCATCATATGCACGATTTTCAGCGATGAATTCGGCGAAGATAACGCAGAAATAAGAGACAAGAAGCTGAAGACCGCGCGCACTGGTCTGTTATATTACCATAAATAGTAAAAATGGCGATAACAACGACACAAGCAGTATCATAGCATATTATATAACATGACAGGAGTGAGCCAAAGTTTTCGTCTTAGTTTAACGCCGTCGGTATGGTGATACGATTGAAAAATGGACCCGGTGACGATTTCTGGACTCGCATTCGTTAAATCAACTTAAAACAATTTCTTCCAAAAGTGTCAAGTAAATAAAAAGGCGAGTGAAAATAGTTTATCTGAATGAGCCTTTATCAAAATTCGAAGCGATCATTCGATCAGTACATGACCGAGGACGCATTTTCATGTGAACGATTTTTCATCAATTTTTTTTTATTGGAGAATGTTATCTACAATATATTCGGTATATTTCGGTAGTAGTACAAGGGACCTGTTAGAAAAACTTGGCAAAAAACAACGTACCAAGACAGGACGGTACTGTGAAACCCTTGACTGAAAATAGCGCCAAATATTGAAGAACAGCGAAGTGTGAAGCACATATATATATATATATATATATATATATATATCCCGTTTATATTCGTGTCACCCAAATCTCGATAAACTTTATATACCGCGTTATAATCACCGCGATCTCTGTCGGTTCTATCGAAGAAACCCTACTGGAAGATCTTCGTCACACTCCTAACTCTTAGTTAGACAGATGAGGTACACATTGATTCTCCTTCTTCGTCGATTCCTTCTGCTCATGGCATCAACAACCAGCGCATATCTTCATACCAATCTCCGTCTTTGTACGGCTACAGCCAAACAAATCAAGACCCAGCAGCAACACTACATTGCGTTTGTTGACAATGTTTATTATAAGCGGTTCCGAATGGACATTGTCAACAAATTCGTGCTGACATTCCGAGGGTTTGTAGTGATACGAAGCCCATTGAAATAGGCAATAGCACTGTTGCCTAATGTCCTGATCCATCCTTCAAAAGGGGAAGGTTTCTCTACCTTTTCGTGTTGTTCTGTTTGATCCCTTCAACTAGCTTTTTCCGTGTTAGCGGTACTGGTCATCTTGCCAGCCGAGATTAGAACTGATGGAGCACTTTTTAGCCTATTGTTAATCTTATTGTTTGTACTGTTGCCGCTATTAGTATATTGTGTGTTTGTTTAATTGGTCTGTGATTGACACGCGGCGTGCTTTAACTCGTCATTTCAGTTTTGTGGTTAACGACTGCGATCGGAATAGTATAGTTAAGACGGCAAGCGATGGCGGTATCGAATGACGTTGGGTAGCCGGCCAGTGGCATGTTCTGACTACCCGGATGTAAAAGATATGATTTGAATCAAGCTGTTAGAGGAATTGGAATCCAATTGGGAAATACCGCCCATGAATCGTCATGAGCGAGGCACGGTTAGGGGGCTAATGGGAACGGTTAAAAGTAATCAAGCATATAAAGCAAAGCGTCACCGGGTTTATAAGTTTAATTAGTTGTTTAGTTCGTTTCATTATAACTGCAGCCTTAAGTTGGACGAACTGTTAAAGGCAATTTGACACAACCAGCTATTAGCTATTGATTGTAACGATCGCTCGACGACGAAATGTCCTTATCAACTACGGAACGCTGCAGTACATACTAGAATTCGACGGCGGTAAAAAGTTGATTATTCTTTGGCGAAAGATATATACTATACACTAGTCCTAGATGTCCTTCGTCGGTGTGCCGTTTTTAAAGATAGACCAATAACAGGTCGTATGCAACGCACGTGTAAGTACAGTCTCCTATTTGTTGCTTCGAAACAATGGTGTTATTTTTATAATAAGCATTTTAAAATAAAAACAACTGTCGAGTACAGCACACGTCAAGAAGAGTGTTTTCGTGTAATCGTATCTAGTAGAATTAGCCAATTATTTGTCGTACATTAATCATAGTTTAAAATGCATGTAAAAGTATCGATGCAGTTGATAGACGGTGATGTCCCGTGCATTTATACATCAACGCCTAACATAGTCTGGGAAGGGGTTCAGTCCCCCCTCAGTTATTTTGCAGCTTCTCTTATTTACGTTTCTGTGTGCTTCATCTTTCTGCTTGCTTTTCCCGTAGCGTGGACAACTTGAAAAGTGCCATCGACCTGACGCAGAACGTACCCAAAGAGAAACAGGTCTTGCTTATTTCCGGTGGCGAATGCCTGAACAACTCGCGAACGGTAGCCTCGTACGGGGCCGGCACCGATACTAACCCAATATTTTTGTTCAACAAGACGCTGTACGCGGACCTACAGTTGCCCAGTTCACCGGAAGTTGGTCGACATCAGTTCAATAACCCTCATTATGAGCGACAAGGTTTGAATATTAGCTATTTTCTATTGCAAAGCACGTAATGGTTCATCTCATACTTGGTAACTATCACTCGCAAATATTTTCAGATATTAGTCCAATTAATTATTTTTCTGCCACATCAAGCTGGATAAACGCCGACAAACCAATGACTGACTAACCTTATTGTCTTTCTTTTCATTTGCAGAAGCGCTTACATTGCAGAAGTTACAATCGCATTGTGCGCTTGAACCCACCATGGTTACGATCAGGAAACGAACGCAATTTGCTCAAGAACTCTATGAACTATCAGTTCAGGAGGCTAAGCTGTGTCGGCAAAAGGTGCACGAACAGCATCTCCAGCAGCAGGTGATTGATAAAATAAACCTTTAGAAAAACAAAGCTGAGCCAATCAGCCGATTAGGCGTCCCCCAGACGAGCAATAGACAATGTAAAGCGTATTGTTTATCAATCAGAAATAAACCAACGTTGTTAGAAATATCTAGATAATATAATATCAACACAACCTCTATAGTTGGCACATTGTTTTGTGCGCTTGTTTAAATAGGCGTGGTCAGCGGTAATTGCCAACCTTGAGGACGCAGGCGTAGCGTTCGAAAAGCGGTCGCGTAGATTTTTGCTCCTTTTCGAAACGTTTGTGGCGCGCAATGCCGAATTTCAAATGATTCAAGACAATTTCCCCGAGGATTGTATGTTACTCGCCAGGCTCCCGCTACTGACTAAGCTGACCCAAACATCACAACATCAGGAAATGAACGATTTGAACCTGTCTTCGACTGACGGTTTGCATGACATTTATGTCACCCTATACGTGATAGTTATTATTCAATCGGAAACTTACGATCAATGAAAGTGGACAAATTGAAAATATATGCTATAACTAGACTAACCCATTCAATTTTCACTGTTGACGAGCTTCGCTGATAAAAATTCAGTTCAATTTGAAATTTGCTTTATAAATAATGCCGGTTTATTGCGAGCTACCGCATGCCTAAAATACATTAAAATTAATTTACATGGCACCCTATCGCCGACCTTAGGACTGCCGGCCACTCTTCTGGACTACGTTATTCGATCAAACCCAGAAAACAGTTTGGAGGATTTGGCCGAACAGTGTCGTAAAGGGCTGACGCAGTTGACTCCGGAGGTGCTTGAAGAGATGCGGAAAATGATCAAGGAAATCCTTGATAAGACCAGCCAGCCGAATTTCAAACATATTAAGGGTTTGTAGTCGTACTTCGTTTCTTGTTCTGATAAATTATACAGGTTATAATCTTGTACTCAGTCTAACGTTGTTGAAATCCCAATCAATACATTTATCGAATCTGATTCCATTACCGCGAATCATTGGTTCCTATGCGCTCTTCTAATTAACGTCGCGCTGTTGGTTCTTCATCGATATACACTCATCAATTTTGTCTTTACTGACACGGTGTTTTCAAGTACGCACGTTTATAATAGAAATATGCCTTAAGTGGTAGGGTCAAGTCGGGATGGATAGTTTCTGCTAACAAACCGTGTTCATATCTGTTTATCTTAATACCAACACGGTTTTACTAGGTCTGGAAGATCGTCTGAGCGGACTCGAGGAGCTGATGCGGAAGGCCGACGACCTGGTCATTAGGCAAGAGCCAAATTGTCAGAGTTTCTTGCTGATGCAGGCAAATGCTGCCAAGCTGAAAGACAGTGAGCGTTCGCTAATGATTCCTGATTTATGTAGCACTCAACCCGAGATCCTGCAAAAGATGCATCTAAATTATACGATGCTCAAGGACATTACGCGTCGTTGTTCAGTGGCCAAGAACGAACTGTCAGAAAATCTAAAGTACCGCTTGGCATACATTACCCAGGTAGAAGGGAGCATCGGTGATATATCGACTAAGCTTAAAGTCTACGAAAAGCGGATTGAAACCTTCTCCCGGATCCTTAACAAAATGGAGCAGATTCATAGCGCACCGCAAATTTATGCAAGATCTGTTGCCGAGGTAGTATCACAATCGAGTCATCCCACATAGGTCATGCTACGCTGATCTTAACAGTATGACTTTTTTTCTAATACGTATTACCGATAATGAGCCCGCGACGCACGGGCTGTGTAATATTCAATTACTTCTCTAATAATTTATAGTAGGTATTATTTGAATTTTCATTATACCGTCTATTTCGCGCCACTACCTTCTTCTCTTCATCAGGTGGTTCGGCGAAAGCGCTTCTCATCCCTCTATCTCAAGTGGGCCGGAGGGTTATCCGCGCATTGTAAAGAGGTCTACAGAAACGAGCTGGCTCAAAGGAGGGCGTACAAGGAGCAAACGCGGAGTCACTTCTTGCGAAAGCTCTTCCCAGGCCTCGATGATGTTCCGCCCCCGTACGCCACGTCGACCCCGGAGATTTTCGATGATCGCTTACCACCTGTCGAACTCGTTGACGTCGAACAGCTCAAGCGCGCCATGCCGGCAGATCTTGCCGGCTTACTTGAGAGCAGCACCTCGGTACCTTCGCTATCGCTGATGGACATTGACAACGTCAGCCACTCGGCCTCAGATATCTCGTCGAAGAAGACAGTCGAATCAGACGCTGTATCCCATCAGGAGGTACGAGTTTACGATATGGTTACGGCCTCAAGCCCTGCTGATCCCGGATACGTCACCGACAACAGTAACAATGTTCTAATGGAGCTCAGCGTAGAAAAGGTCCGTTTGTACGGAGACCTCTGTATATCGCCTGGCTCTTAGTTGCAGAATTAGATTACGCTCTACATTTGACAAACACATTGCCTCATGATTTAAAAGTCTTCATTAGGGAAAAGTTGTGTTTAGTTATTGTGTGGTGCATGGTTAGCATTCGCGTTCAGATAAATTCGATTACTGGACATGCTCGAAGACATCTTAGAATCGATCTCAAAAATAGTAAAAACTCAAATATACACTGGAACAATAGTAGAATTTAACAAGTGTGTTTGTTCTGCATTGCAATCTCTAAACAGTACACAATTAGAGCATACAAGGAAAGCCTCGATTTCGCCGACCTTCGTCTTTATATAAACGGTTCTAATTGTTCGTCTTAGGCCAACGATATAGGAACATTTAGCACCGAGGTAAAAACAATGGTTTTACTAAAAATGTCTGTCAATGCCGGATACAAAAAAAAAAAAAACATTATCTTGTCAGATCTGCGAAGTGCCGTATAAGCAATGTATAGTTTTCCCTAAGGCGGAAGCCCTTCGGCTTTTGCATAGTTCTCTTTCGTCTTTGTCAAGTAGAGACATTAACGATTAAGTATAGTTTTAGTTTAGCGAGTGTTGACCATTCTGTTTCTGAAGGTGGGTACCGGCAGCGAAGCTGCCTCTGCTCAAGAACAGAAGATATGCGTCGATGTACTGCACTGTGAAGAGATGCGGGAAAAAGTTCGCGGTTGCGTGAACGACCTTCGTGTCACTGTTGGCGCTTTCGTGGATGACACGACTATGCTTGCGCAGGATTTACGGCGTTGGACAGGAGAACTGGCTGAGGATGCAACCAAAGTAGCGACGACCGTTGCTGCCATAGTTCAGGGAGGCCAAGACAAAGAGAAATCTCTTGAGAGACAGCTTGAAATTGAGCTTCACAAGCTTAAGGATGCTCAAGCGTAAGTAGATTCGGTGGATACTGTAGATAGAAAGTGTGTGAAAATAAGTCATGTTGTCTTCTATTGAAATGGTTTATCTTAAGCCCGCATATAGCAATCAGACATTGCTGGCTGTGTTAGATATTGGTTGATGATTTTTCCACACGTTCTTTTATGCATTGTTATTTGATCTCTTCTGTCTTCTGTGTCCATCCACAAACGGATGTTGGTCCTTGACGTCTATACAGTGAGATCGAACTCTACTACGATCAGCTCCGCCAGATGAAGGAGCTTGTGGACCACTCCAAACAAGAAATAGAGATTCAGAAAGCTGATTACGACTCGCGGCTAACCAAGTTGCAGATGGAGCACGAGCTCGAGCTAGAGAATGTTGAGGCACGATACAAACAGGAACTTACGCAACTTAATGCTCGGATAACCGAGATACAGGTACCTATAATTGATGAAATAAAAAATATTTTCATTCTACGGCGCACATGTTGAAATGAGTTGACGCGTTCCTCTGCGACATATTGATAGTCGTACACTTTTCAAGGGAACCCTCACATTGTCAAGCTAATCTATGCTGTTGCTACATGTCATGTGTTGAATTATGAAATACTACCACATTCGTTGCTCTTTCTAAAGACAGAACAAAAAAGGAATTACTAACCTGGAGTGCCACGTAGTTCCGCTGTGTGTAAAAATAGTTGCTCGTATGCTAAATATAACTTACTGATACGCTACCTATGTCCGTGTCCTGCTACGGTTCTCTTTTTTCTACATACTTGTCGTTTTTGGATTTTCTCTTTTCGGTTTTTTACAGGAACAGAATGAGCGGCTGATCGTCGCTCAGGAAGATCATGCCACGCAGTTAGCGAACGTCGTAATCGACCACGAGGGGCGTTTGGCGCGACTTCACGAAGAATTCACTGCTCGCGAACTTGCCGTCCGCGAGGACCTTGAGCGCCACCACAAGAACGAGCTTGAGTCGCTTCGGTGTCGGTATAAACTGACGACGAGCGTTATGTCGACGTCTTCGAGCACCATTGGCAGTGACGTGGTCAGCAGCCTGAGTTCACCACAAGGCGGAGTGACTGGCCCATTGTTACTGCCAGCCGGAATTTCACATAGCCAAGAGATCGAAAATCGTTGGAGACTCCGCGAAATGGAACTTGAGGAAAGAATCCGTCAACTCGAGCGAATGCTTCAAGACAGAAACAATGGTCAGTTGCTCTGGAACCTCGTCCGGGAGCTATTAGATTCTGCGGATTTTTCGAACAATGCGAATTTAACCCTTTTGTGTTTAGCTATTGTGATTATAATATTGTCTGTGTTGAATCTTTTTTTCGCCACATGATCTTATGTTGATCATGCGGTTTCGAAATCGTTTGTTGACTCGATACATTTGGTTTGTAGTAGGCAAATTGGCAACGAAACGGCATGAATATGAATTCAACCTTTTGCGTATCGCATGCCTGCACCCAGTTTTGAATCCTTTGGCACAAATGTTATTCCTTGTTCGTAGGACTTTCGTGTTATGTTGTTGTACAAAATAATAATAATTATTATTATTATAGCAGTAACAGTGTAGACAACAAGAGTACAGGCGCGCGTGCCCATCAAACCGAAACCGTGATGTAACTCTGTGATGCACAGTATATATATATATATATATATATATATATATATATATATATATACAATAACAATGATCTAAGCATTATTTCGTGTTACCAGCTAACACAATCTCAATCTTGCAATACCGCAAATACTAAGCTAATATGTGAGAGTTACTAAGTTAGTTGAAATAATAAATATAATCCTTGATAAACATCGAATTCTGTAACTGCACTATTATACCAAGAGTTTTATTGACGGCATGCCCTCACGGGTTTTGTGGCGGCAGACGAAGCTGTTGCCTAGCGAGGTTCAACATCGAATATACAGTGAATACTGGTATCTTTTCATTTTTTCACGTTCATACCTTCTTTTTACCTTAGACGAGACACCTGTTGTTAAGGTTGACTGCGTATAGTGGATCAGATGTAGCAATTTTTATGAACTCGACAGAAAAGGTTTTGATCTGATAGCTAGAACAGTTTATGCATTTGGTGAAATACATCGCCGGCAAAACGTATTTAGCTCTACTTTATTAGCTTGTGGTACCACTTCAATAGGTCCCAAACGAAACCATGTCAGGCCGAGCTACAGGACTCGCTGCGGATAATTGGTTTTGGGTATGTTTTTTTTTTGAGAAATGTTAGGAAAATCATTCATATTTTTTTTTAAATCTCGGTTTGGGCGCTCAGTGTTAGTAATGCTCATAAAGCACGCATACCCACTTGCGTGAAACTTCCACGATAACAGATTACAGTGAAAGACTTTACCGAATACAATAAGCCCTTATCCATTGTTACATCATTGTTATAATGATCTATTACGGTAATAATCGTACGCGGACCATATAACGCGGTGACGATTTATAGCTTGGCTCGAATCGATGAGAATAAATCAACTCAATGTATAGATATTCAACTATTTCGAAACGTATCCAAAACAGCTGAAAGACCTTAGTTGGTTTTAGCTTTCATTTTTTTACACAGTGGTACCCGGCACTGTACACACACAGCACGGATATGTATATATACGCGGTCTATAAGATTTAGAACTTGCGACTTGCCTGTGTGTATGAGAGCCAATAAATATGTCTATGTTTGTGATATATCTCAATCAATTATCCTGCGTGTGTGTGTTATTTATTCACAAAAGTATCTTTTCCTATTTACCGCCAATCTCTCTAGTTCTACGCTGTAACATACTGAAACAAGCACGACCTCCTTCATTGTTTCCGCTGGTGCCCGTCGTTGTTGAGGTCCGTCTCATCGTCTACCTCTTTCGTCTGCTTAGAGTCAAAATCGTGAAGTTGTTCCCTATAATGTTTTCAACAAAAAAAAAATCTAAAGAAAACAATAGAACAACGAAAAAACATCTTGATATGGTGTATTTGGTCGTCGGTGTGTTTTGTTTTTGCATCTCTCCACTAGATTCCCCTTCTCCGGCAGTGGTAGCCGGGGTCATGGACACCAGCTGTACGTCGGCGATGAGCAGTCTGCAGATGATGGTCGACTCCCAGTATCGCGTCATGGCCGAAAGCGCTGTCGGAACTTTAGCAGGGCCCGGAATCGGCGGCGGAACGTCAACGGCGATGGTTGAATCGACAGTCGTTCGGCTCCAGCCGTCCCACACCAACAACAATAATCCGGCAACAGCGATGGAACTAATCGAGCAGCTTCGTGCGAAAGAGGCCGAAATCCAACGGATACAGATGCGTCTAGTTTCCAGCTGCGGAACGGGATCGTTGCCATCATTGAGCAGCGACCGAGTATCGATTCTCAGCTGCGTCCACGGAGACGTCGTTCTACTTGCGTATGACGACAATCATGAAAATTATGTCATCTTTATGCTCGGTCCGCTGTTGCATTTCCTACACAGGGACTCGCTCGAGGAGCTTCGGCTGAGTACGGATCGGGAGAGATCTACGAAACGCTGGATCATTGGCGAGGTCGTCGACAAAGAGTACTGCGAGGCCAGGAGGGTAAGCATGGATAGCCGCTGCATTCATCATAACTTAATTTTTTAGCTGTACCAATGTTATTGAGACAATCTGATGCTTTGTTATGTGATTGTATTTGATTTATTCTAATTGGAAAACGGCTGCTCGACCAAATGATTGCTGCAAATTTATTTTACTTACATTACACATCACTACACGTATTACAACCATTGTTTACCCCGTTTTATCCTGTAAACAACACGTACAGCACTTGAAACAGGTGTACAGTTGAACCAACGCTAAAAGACAAGTAGATCAGCTATTGTACATAACCAATAACTATATCGGCATAACGATCACAAGCACATGTTGGTTGTTTCGTAACAATTAAGTCATAAAATTACAACATCTCGGTAATTCACAAGAAAATCTCTCAGTAGCCTCTGCGACTCCTCAACCGTACTGCTCCTATTGATTTGTATTATACTTAATAGGCGGTGAACCGGTATAGGCTAGCTGTTGGTACGCGCTTCTTCCGTGTCAAGGTTCGGCCGTGGGATCGTCAGGGAGCCATGCGTCGAGAACAGGAGCGTCGCCAAGTTCTCAAGGCGGCGGCAACGGCAACGACAGGGGCGGCTACGCTGTCAGTCCCGCTCGGCAACAACAGTGAAAACGCTGGTGCTAACGTAGCGTCAGCCGTGGCTCTGGCAACAACACTGAGTTTAAACGCTGCTACAACCACAACAGTAACCGCTGGAGTGGGAGGACCCTCAGACGGACCAAATTTGCCGGCTAGCGCCGCTTCACCCGTTGCCTCGCCAGCTACTTCAATTTAATCTAATTGAACCGAGTCAATAATTCTGACGCTAACGATAATAAGAGCAAGCGCATTTACAACAACGAGCAATTAGAATAACGACAAATGGAGCGCCCCGTTAACGACTCATTAAGCGAAGGAAGGTACAAGGCAACGATGTAGATCGGACAGCCACAATGATAGAGAACTTAAGCGTAAAAATTAACAGCAACAAAGGCAAAAACAATAATAACACCTATGACGAGAGGAACAGTGGCGTTGTTAGCATTTGTAAGGGTTACAAAAAGGCGATCTAGAGAAGAGGATCGGTTTAGCCACTGCTAGTAACAGCGACTAATGCAATGATGGGTTCGTCTTTTTGTTAGATTCGATAACGACAGTTGAGGGGATGTAAAGTCAGGATTTAAAAGGCGCACTCAGATTAGATATATATATATATATATATATAGAGGTTAATTCCAAATTTTACAGGAACAAACGACAGGGACTTGCTTTTTAAAATTGATACAAGGCTTATTTGAACATCATAATGACAATGGGACTCCACTGAGGGCCGATCATGCGTGCGCAGTGGGTGAAGAATCGATACCCGGTGGCAAAAAATTGGCTATTCATCACGATGATAACATACGTTGTGCATGAATGTATGAGTTCGTATGTTTGTGGCTTTGAGTAAGTAGCTCGTTTCGGCTAGACGGAACGGCCGAATCACGGTGCCGGTACCTTCTAATCAAATTTTATTACATCTAGTATCTTCGAAACACCATTTCTTTCTGCCATAAATGATCGTAACGATCACGGGTTATCTTCCAAAGATCAGTTTTACACTGAGTCATCTGTCCATACGCCGCTCCTATGCTAAAAAGTATCCACTGGGTGCTATTCATTTATTATAATGTTTAGGGAAGCATAGACAGCTATGAACGGTATCGCAGTCAAGCTAGATAACAAGAAAGCTTTGGTGGAAAATATGGTTGATGACCGAGGCAACAGGTAACGAGGAGTAACGAATCGTTTGCGGATCTTTTCTAATAGATAGAAATAGATCGAACGACTGCGAATGAATTTAGCACTAACTAAACATTTTAATAGTAGTCTTACAGTAATTACGGTAATACAGAATGAATCGACGATGGCAAATCGTTGTTTCAACGAGCTGGTCTCGGCAGATGAAGAATCGGATTTATGTGCAGGTTAGGGTGGTAACGCCATATAGCGATACATACGGAACCATTAAAAATCTGTAAGAATGGATGAAGCTGATATAAACGTTAAGCGTGGCTGAGCATTCAGTAAGATCTTGAATGACAAAATCTACTTCAGCAGATCCTGATGTAATGAAACGAAGAAGGCCAATCCTGTAAAGGCATAGGCAACTGCAGGCAGGTATTAAGACAGCAAAGGACAGGCCAGTGGTAATGGTCATGCGAAAATGACCATTTGAAAATTTTACACGGATACGAACCTCGGGATCGCGGCAAAGGAATAAAATGCAACATGTTTCAAGTTGACAATAGAAATACTGATTATAATTCTTTATATCCACATATATGAGCGTTCATATAATATAACAGAACATACATACATATATATTATAGCTACACGATCTACGTTTCGATACCTGTTTCTGCCTCTGCCGTTTGATTCTGTGAATGAATTCCGCTATTGTCGTCATTTTCGCCGTTAGACAAAAGGCAAGACGATACAATATCTTTCAAACTGATATAAATACAGCCGTTGTTGTTGACCCGAATATGATTGGCAATTACGGTTATGGCTGTAGCGATCATTAACGACATCTATTATTGTTATTTCACGGTCCCTTCGCAAAATTCGCTTCTGCCTATATCGATGCCCTTTTTATCTGGGGTGGGAAGAGATCAAAATCTATCCGTTGGGTGACTGCCAGCAAGCAAGAACAGACGTACGAATGGGCGAGTTCACGAGGCAAGAGCTGAGTGCATGTGAAATAAGCGATGATATATAAGCGAAAAGATAATAAATAATGAGTTTCAGCGAAGAAACTAGTCTATGTACGTGTGCCCGGTTTTACAGCACTGAAATTTTCCTATCGGGTGTCTTCACATCTACTTGCGCACCTTCTATTTTTGTCTATACGCTCACAACGAAAAAGAACAGGAGTCGAAGGTGGATAACAGTAACAATAATGATGATAATGATAGTAACAATAGGTGTGTAGAGGATTGACTGAAAGGACCATTGAAAAAGCAATCTTAATGTACATAGAAGATAATAGATAGGGGCTGTACGTGTACGACGGGTTCAGTATGAAAGGATTCGTATGCTACCATATTCTACAAGAGAGCTAAGTGTAAAAAGAACAATATTGATAGTAGTAATAATATAAACAGTAGCGTATATACATATAATAATCAGCGGTTTGTCATAATTCATCGATTACCGGTGGCTGGCTAACAGACATGTTAGGTATACGCTAACACGAAGAGAAGATCCATAATGATCTTAAAAATGGCGTGTCGTTTCTAGACACTGAGATTTGCGACAACAATAGAACTACGTCGTTCGTAGGAGTTAGTAGCATAAAGCTCTAATAGTTGATAATGGATGCGGTGAGGACAAGTAGAAGAAGAACGACAGAGACTTTTCACAGATCTGTGCGCGATCGAGGAGTCGACAAAATGGTGGGACTCATGCGCGACTGTATGAGGACCAGGCATAACGACGAGGAAAACAAATAGCCGATAGGTAACACCGCGTCGATGGTGATGACGTTGGTGATTCTAACGATAATTAGGTGATAGCACTAGAATCCGGACGACGATGAGAAAATAGTTAACAAAGTGCAACTCTGCGACGTAACGTTTCATCGGACGACGTAACGACGGATTATGCGCTGTGGCACAAGTGATTCCGATGATTCATAGAACTTCGAACGATAACTTCAACCGCAAGAAGAATGGAATCACGATGGAGGGTCGTACGAGCATATAACGAACATGAACACGCAGACTATTTATGATAATTACTATTTACTAACTGTACGAGGCGATGAACGAGTCACAATACGAAACAAAATTATAGCTTGACATTTTGCGAGCTTCTCGTCCCCTCACTGACTATATCTACGTCCCTAAATTCTCAGAATGCGATTTGCCTCTCTTTCAATCAAGCAACTCATGCTGTTATGACGGCTGCCGCTGTTCCGCGACCGTATTCATTGGCAATATCGATAGCACGCAATAGAAGGCGTGTGGAAACCACATGCAGTAACAACAAATCAAGCGGAATGATTAGGCGAACAACAAGCCGCCGCCGCCGCCGCCGCCGCCGCCGCCGCCGCCGCCGCCGTAGCAACAATGACAGTGGCAGGTACGAGTGACCATTAAACGATGATGCCATGATATATATATATAATGATGTTATAATTATGGTAAAGTAATAATTAGTAATTGTGTATCCATGCAAGAGAACTGAGATGAAAAAGAAGAGAGCTGAAGCTATTGAATTAAGGTTCACTTTAGCCATCTTTTGATAGATGACGAACTGTAAAAAGCTGCTGGAACGCTGATGGGATTCTAAAGCAATGGCGGTTTTGGGGAGACGTTTAATCGAAGAACTAACTGACAGACTCACACAATATATATATATATATATATATATATATATGTAATACTGACGGGAGAGATGTCGGTAATCGTCAAGATGGAAACAAAGTGGATGTATATGAAACAATAGCTACTACGATAGGCAAATAACGAAGTGATGCCAATATTATTAATTATGAAAAACATAGTTAGTGATCACGTCGGCGATAACGGTTACGTGTCAAGTGGTGATCGATGTAGTACAGCGCGAGACAGAAGGAGTAAAAAAAACACAAGGAAATAAACCGGATCATGAGCGTTCCGTTTTTGCCGTTACTTCTCAGTTGCGATCCTTGTAGGAACTCTTCGACTTTTATTAACGCACGGGGAATGGACGAGCAGCTTCAATAGCTCAGAAGATAGGACTGAGAAATTAAAGGAGGGAACATCAAATACTACTTCGGCCATTACATTTCAGATATCAATTAAGGCACTGTACGGAAAAGCAAAAAAAGAAGCTTTAATGACCATCGAAATAGATAAATTATCAATATTACGACTGATCCCACGACAACGATGACGATGAGAACAGCAACAGAGGAACAATAGTAATTGCAACAGCGTATATTCCACGAAATCATTCTATTAATGTCCATCTATCATATAAATAGTTAGCAAATTAATCAAGATTGCAAGCCGACATGCAGTCTCGCCGCATCCCTCACCGCTCGTACACACACAAACGTACACGTGGGCTTGCACATAAACACACCGTATCTAGGCGAAAAAAATGCTTCACTACACCAAATATGCCCCCTTGAATCATGCTTTATCCGGTCCGTATGCTCTGACCAACTAGAACTTGGCAAGAAACAACCGAGGAACTTGCCGTAGCCGTCCCTTCTATGTCTACCATGGTTTTTTCGCTTTAACAGAGGCCTACACAGAAATGCTAAAACGCAGGCAATTCCGCCAAATGCTCGAGCGTTTCTCATTACCAGAGACGCTGACTCCATATACTTGTACGTATTTCGCAAATACTCACGGCCTCAGATGCACAGGAGTCAGTCAACTAACAATTCAAGTTATTCCCGTTTCTCAGGCCACCCTCAGCATTTCGCCGTGTTCAGTGCCACGGTATTGGAAGCGGGCAGGCGTGCGTGCGACAGGCTGGGATTAAACGGAAAACATGATATATGGGCGTTCGATTTTGTAGCATTTTTTGTTTCTGTTCTCTCTGTTGAACACCTCTTTGTGGTGCTCATTGTGATAGAAACTGCGTTACTATATACATGTATGCGATGGGGTAATATTGATAACAATAATTATAATCGAACAGTTATTGACCAGCCGGGTTGCTTATTAGAATACAGAGAGTAAAATATAATCAGCTGTACCACGACGGCGACGATTCTAGTAGAGGTCACTAATTAACTTTATATTCCCGCTCCTTCACCGTCGCCATTCACTCACACTGAGTTCATCCTCACGCAAAAGAAGCTATCGGTACCTAGCTGTGTACGTAAATGTGTGAGGTGTATGTAAGCATTGGTTAGAGTTGTGTCTCTTAAATTTCCATTTGTATTTAATTTGCTGTGCTGAAAAAACACGTTTATAGAAATAAACATGTTTGTTAATGTCTGTTCGCTTACTGTCTCATTGTACCACTGCATCGAATCTATTTATACATCCGGGATGGTGGAGGGTACCTGGAATAGAAGCGTGGAAAATTTACATTTAAATCTATTATTACACTGAATAGAACCGTAACGATAACAGCAACAGTAATTTCATAGTCAACAATTAAAGAGTCACCAACGACAACAATAACACTATACATAGGCGAGCAGTACCTTCGCACGCAACATAACCTTAATCAAAACTAGTAAAAAATAAGGGCGCGGTTTTTCTTTCCGATTAATTTTTATTTATATATGATCACTTTATCGGGAAAAAAACGAAATAAATATACCGCAACAACTAGTGTCTGGAATCAGTCATTGTCATGCGATAACTCAACACTAATGTCTCAGAGCCACCATAGCAGGGCAACACCGATCGTGACAGGAGCAAGCAAAGGCTACAATCCATATATAGGTCGTTTAATCATTTTCTAATGATTTTGTGTATTTGAGTGCTACCATAACTTCCTCGCCTTTTTTTTTATATATATACATGAATGTATATCCCGTCCCAGCAGCGCGAAAGGATTGGGTAGGGAAGCTCGAAAGGGGTTTGAGAAAGGGAGCTGTGTTCTTAACAATGGTGAGCGATACTGATGTGAAAATGGCAACAATGAGATAATTCCGCAGACAATATTAGTTTTGCCGATTATCGTGATGATGGTGAGCGCGGATACGTTACGTGGCTCTATGTGAAGTCTACCTTATTATAGCAGTGTATATAGCTTTGAGTCTATTGTATATTTGAATTAAACTGACGTAAAATATGACAAAGATATAATAATGATAAAAAAAAAAACACTGACAAACAAAAAACAGATGCAAATAAATTTCGATTTTAGATCCAAACTTGAACAGCGTGCTGTGTATTTCATTGGATATGAGATCAGAATAGTACATTACGCGATTCCAGTGTCTAGCTAAGGTAATCGCGTAACTGATGCGTCCGAATCATCTGTCTTTGCAGATTGCTTTTTACGGCATGAAAATTTGTTCAGATTCCTCAGATATGGAACTGATCTTCGAGCTTCATATGGCTCTAACAGTGTCCTGCAGTGTCTTTCTGGAAGGCGTTTCTGTGTGGCGGATCCTCTTAAGGTGTCCAGTTTATGTTCGCCGGTATATACTCCTCTGTAGCTCCCTTTTACTATTTCATTTTCTTAATGAGTGAGTTTAGTGAATTACATAGAATATGTGAAAAATATTTCGGCTGTAATAATGATTTTCGCACGAATCGTCTCACCTGTGCAGACGACAGTGTCTGATGTTTACATGTGAACGCAATGTCTTTAACACTGCACTAACATTAGGCGCGTAAATTCATGGTTCGTCGAAAAGTAGCGTGAGCAGCGTGCTACGTTTTGTCGTATCCTATCACCTCATCTTTTAGGAAATTTTACAGATAATGCACTTCTGCCAAACATAAGTCTTCTCCGATCGTGAATACTGGCTAATTCGGTGAGCCTCGTTATTGTAGTCTGCTCTTCAGAATACGTTATCGACGTGCAAGATGATAGTGACGTGCAATGGTAATGACACAAATTTCCCATCAGACCGTACCGAGAAGAATTTTCAACAAACATATAAACTTTGAAATTTTTGTGAAGAATTTTAAAAATTAATCAATGAAATTATGGGAACGCTATGATCAACTAGTTCTTTAATCATTCACAAAACAAAATTAGGTATAACTATATACATAGATTTCATACAAGACAGATTCCGCTTGTTCCTAATGGTGACGAGCTTACGTATGATTAGTCATAAAAACGACAAGGACGGTAACGATTAATAAAGAAAACTTTATTAACACGTCTTTTACGGCGTATTTGACATCCGCATACAAGTTGTTTCGCTCGTTGTTATTACTTATAATATTATCATTATTACTACGCTTAGTATTTATTACTACTATTATTGCTTACCTAACTGCGGATGGGTGGCGCACAGCGAGCAATAGCAGCAATCAAGAGCTGACGGTTCGTGCGATCTGTCCTTATTCACCGTCCTGTCTTACCACGTCAGGTAAACTAGCTAACAAGCACAACGCTGTAGAACTAGCTCCTGAGTGCTACTGTATATATATATATAACCTTTTTGAGCACACTTATAGACCCTGTTAATTATTTGTATAAGTGGAATGTTAGGAAGAAAAAACGTAACGAGGTCTAACATCGCCTCTGACCTGCATTCGTTATCGATATTGTACCTCAAGCCAGCTATCAAAGGTTTAACAAACAAAGAAATAAAAGAAATGATACCAACCCCGGACTCAGTTACTCAAATTAATCACTTGCGTTTACTAGCTCTTGTCCAAATATCATCATAAAATGTATCCGTAAGAAAAGCTCACAACGACGCTCCTTTAGAAAGGCATTGAGTTATTCGATAACCGCCTATGATTTTTTTCACTTTTTTTTGTGGTAAACGAAGGTCAATGGAGATCATTGGGCTTCTTGCTACGTACCGTTCTTAAAACCACTCCATCAGCCGAATTTCGTCGAATTTTTTGATATAATATATCTGAGTTCATATTTCTGAGAATACGCGCCGTTCAGGTTTATACGTACTATAAGCGAAAGTGGGAAAGAAACAAAGCAATGCTAATTTATTTAAAAACAACTTCTAAATTTGTGTGTTTGATAAATTCGATTAACCATTTTGTATGCCTTTATTAGAATTAGATTAGGATCGTCATCTGGCCTTTTACGGCCACCAACGTAAGCACTCGCTCGCATGGTAGCAAACAACGAAACAAAAGCCAAGCGGTCTTATTAAAACAAACAACAGAACCTCGTCCGTCAACCATCTATTATAGCAGCAATGTTTACTGGCGCACTCACAGTTAACCCCACGCACTCTACTAGCATGCGTACTCGTACAGGTTTTCCCCATCGCTAACAAATGTATCGTATTGACGGATCGACTTCTGGTTTGTACCTTTGTTCGTTTTTCCTTCGAAAAAGAAAAACTATCCCTTCCCGTAGAGGTTTGGTTCTCAACGCGTTCGTTTATTGTGCTTGGCGCTCCAGTGTCACGGACTTTCTAGCGGCCACTGCTTACCGTATCTCGCGGAACAAAACGCTCGGTTAAATGACTAGACAATTAAGGGAAGGGTGAGAGGTTTTACCATCTGTATACATGTCCTAGCTACTCACAGCTCGTCTTGTTCTGAACTATGCTCCATGCATTACGTATTTCATGATGTGAATACTATACTGTACTACGTAAGTACTATTATTAATTTTCGAAAATTGCGCCGTACTGAGTGAAACGTATTTTGCCTATTTTATCTCTTTCTCATGTGACGACATTTATAAAAGTTCATCCACTTATTTACGCTCTATCCTCAATTGCTTTTATTTCTTGTTTTCTGGATAGCAACAATCACCATATCAATTATATTGTTAAAGGCATATTAAATCATTATAACCATTACAATGTTATATTTTTCTTCTCAACATGTCGGTACCAAGTCTGATAATCCTCTCTATTAATCAGGATTGACTGCTATTAGTAATGATTTTAACATTGTCGTCAATAATAACCACTATGACTAAAACCCGTCTTTAGCTATAGCTATCTTTGCTGCTCGCATCGATGACTTTATTCAGTGGTAGAGTTTTCGTCTGCTAACGTTGAGCTATAATACCGAATAAACAATATGCAATGAGCTTTGATCGCTTTCAGTGTCGACTTCTGTACTTGTTGCCATCGGGCTTCCCTGTTGTCTTCTTCGGCCGCTGGTTGCCCCAGTCATGATAACGTTCATCATCATTTCTACTACTATAATTTATTAATGCGATTAAAGTTATAAGCATCATAATATCGACTTAAATACATAGCAGCAGTTAATTACGTTAAGTTTGATAAACAATTTTCAGTAATATTTCCTCTGTGCCCTTTTTGTGTAAATTTTTTGTGCCTCTATTTCTTTTTCGCTGGCACAGCAATATCCACAGGCATCCTAGTTAAACCCGTCTTTTCGAACCATGACAACCTTCTGTATGGATCTGATGGATCAAAAATGGAAATTCTACAGAAAAATATAGATACTGTCAACAGCAACCAATCTAATCATTGCATTAAAACCTGTTGCATCTGTGAGGAGAACCTAAATTCAAAAAGCAAATAAATAGAATTTGGAGCGGAGCATTTCTTGTGTGGTGCTAAGTCAATGAAACCACCATTTAATAGTGATAATTTTGCTTATGCGATAAAAAAGCTTGTGTTGGTTCCATAGTTCGCTATATTTTTATTAACAAGCTTGCTGCTGCTTAAATCTAATCAGTCCCTATTCCTTCGACACGATTTTACACAAAACAAAAAGTTCAGTAATAACATAACTATAAAACAAATCGATCAAGCAGATATCAATTACCCTCTCCCCTTATGTTCCGTTTGTGTTTCAGACACAGATGCGAAAAGGCCATCACTGACAATATTTGTTGAGTTGTTATGTTATCGTTCTACGCGTTTTTCTTTCTGTTTGGTCTCATTTACAGTATCGCGAGCCATTGTCACTGCGGGGAACTACCCTCCCCCCCTCCCCCCCCAGACCTTCGCCAAACAAACGCCTACTTAAGACTAATCCCTTTTAATATATAATACTAATGGTAACGATTCGCTTTCGTTAGATGTCTACGATACGATTAGGGTCGTCATCATCGTTCCGATCCATTTGATATCCATTTGTTATTGTTGATGTCGTTAAGGTTATGGTAGCAATCACGTTGATGTAGCATTGGAAAGTCGACTGTTTAATACTTTGAAATTGACGTTCTTTGTCGATAATTTTCCCAGTTCCCACTCAATCTGCCGTCGCCACCAGTATAGTCCCTGTAGTGAATTACGCAGTCTTCCACGGCATTCATTCGCGCCGGCACGCTTTCGCTCACGGACGCGTTCACATGTACAGCGTACGGCATAAACGTCCAGCGTATCAATACTCGTCCCGCCAAACCTATCTAGCCGCTGTGATTATTACTATTCTGTTACTATTGTTGTTCTAGGCGCAACTTTACATTTCAAAACCTACCGGCACCAAAGCCAGTAAGCAGCGCGTTCAGCGTCGGGCCGGTTTCTCCCGCTCAATTCACATGTGTGAGTATTAATAATATTACAGTATCATGAGGTTACCAATCTGTCTGTCAATACTGGTATGTACGGAACGCGTCAGGTTATTCACATGGTTGCCCTGGAAATCAGAAGAAACAGGTGAAGCTTGGGCAAAGAGGAAAACCTTGCCGGGGGCGAAAAGGCAGCTGAACAAGGAGTCTGGACTTTGAAGACAACACCAGAAATATGAACATTCCACTCTGCTGCAAAACTGCGCAAGTATTTACGAAGTCCATATAAAGTATGGAACGTCATAGATGGACAATTAGATCGTTTTCAATGCTAGTGTTACTCAAATCGAAACGGGTCTTGTCACGCACTACGTCATTAGTTAGCTCATTAACCTAGTGACACCGGCGCTAATGTCTGGCGACAAAATCTACCATCCGATCAACTTTTTTTTCTTGCTATAGCTTACCTATTCGAGATAGTATTGGATAATATATAATAGATCTCTAAAAAACTAGCTCGCAGCTAGCCAAACACTACTTTTTTCATTAGTATATATATATATATGTGTAGTCACTAGAATTGGTTTCAGTTCCGTCGTATCCCAATTGTGCCCATAAATAAACTTCTACATGAAACCAGCATCGAAGCTGTTTATGTTTGCTTTACAGCTTCAATGGAGCTTTTGCTAGTGCTGTCGTTGTCGACAGTTAACTAAGTTTTCAAAAAGAGAGGTGGACGACCAAGGATAAACGGATATCGATAAATTAATCGATATGCTTAAGGTTCATCTCTGAATAGCTACCATCTATTTTTGGCTTTTTTGTCGCGTGACCTTCTGTGTCTCGAGGCACGCTTGTTACTTGTGTGCCCCGAAGGTGGAACATCCGTTGGGGCCAAGCTTGTAGGGATGACATTTGCGACGCGCGACATAGACTGCGTAGTCACTGGAGCAACGCGACAGTTGTTACCGTTAATAAGCGGAGAAGTCTTCTGCAGCGTCACAACCTGCGGTATTACCTCGGTCGGTGTGGATCCAATGAGGCTGGAGAAGTCTGTAAACGTACACGCATACAATATTTTTGTATAGTGTACAGGTCATATAGTGTCTATAATATAGTGCAACGCTATACAGAGGTATTTATATAGTATTTCTTGAACGTAGTTTTGGCAACACGAAGGGTTAGCGATTGGTAAATCAGTTACATATTGAACAATTACCAATTAATAATATAGCACGAACTTGACTGAATGCATAGTAATAAGCTCGAGCATTTCGAAGGATATCTAGAGTATGTGGAGTAAAGAGGCGTAATATGCGTAAAGCAGAACATTAGTGGTTCCGAGTTTTACGTCCGGTTCTATTTTCGTTAAGCCTTGCATTAATACGGCCAGCTGAACAAACGCGGATCTACGCCTGGTTTCGAACCTTGAACCCACCTCGTCTGATAGAGTATTCTCATTCACTCATTTTTTCACTTATTTGTTCATTAGAAAATATCGAAGTCTGGAAGCTTCCCTTAATTATTAATCTCTCTCTTAATCTCCCCAACATTAGTTAATCTTCTCTTAATCCCTGACACCTAATCTAAATAGAAACCTCATTTCCGTAATTTTTTAATTTTCCCTACCTTCGTCTCGTTGTGTTTCCACATTTCTTTATTTGTTTGCTGTTTTTCATTTACCTATTGCATAAAACGAGTGGACCCTAGCTCTTTTATACTGCACGTTTCTTGGGGTTTGATTTTTAGAACTCTGGATTCTCTCATTCGTTTTCTCATTTCCAATATCGATGTAATCCACATACTGTGAAATCACAACGGCAACAATGATACGAAACAAGTACAAACATAATGCGTATTACTTTTATTAGCACTTGTACAAAGTTACCTCATTTGCGACTTCATACACATATATACCCTTAATAATTCTTCCTCTTTTTGCTCACTGTTGTAGTATAATCTCTGAAATGCGTTTAAATGCAGGCTACAATTAATGCGCGTACAACACTCGCCAGAGACCTTTTGTTTCCCACACACCGCTACATATAAAAACATGATCCATTAAAGACACCCATAAATTAATATAAAAATTATCTACTTAAATTTAGCAGAATAAATAGGTTTTCAACACAACCTTTCCCTATAGTAAACTCATCTGTATCTGAAATTATCATACGTAAGCTACGCTGTGAAAAGTTCACAGCTTGAAACCAAGAGTGCCAATCGTACATAGTTGCCGATAGCTTGCAAAACAGTTTCGATATAGAAGTATCGGAACAAGGAGGATCGAGTTCTATCATTCACTATGCACCTAGTACCTAATATAGATAACAAAAGACGTGTGTTTAACGTACAATATTGACCGTACGGACCTCGAGTGATGATACTGTCTATGGGACTGCAGAACGCAGAATCTGCTTCGGCAATATTTTCGCGATGTCCGTCGCCATTTCGATGAATATCGGCGATCGTGGTTCCCTCAATTAAACCTTGCGAGGATATCATGTCCGTTACACGGGCACTCGTCATCTTCAACACGACCTGTAAATTGAGATAATGTTAACAGTATATACGTTAGATGTGGTGTATCGCCATCGTTGAATTTTGCTTCGGGCGCCTGCCCCCTTCCAGCATATAACGAAGTACCTCTGCGTCCGATCCTAAGCTATCCTTAGACTTAGGTTTTATAGACATTATTAGTGCACTATCGTGGAAACGACGTTTCTAACTTTATTACCTATCGACTGTCTGACGGCGATAACGAATAAATATTGTTTGACAAACGACAGAGAGGAGCAAACCGCGCCAACCGACTAGTCATCAGATGTTATGATGCCAAATTATCTGTCTAGGGATAAAAATCTAAATGATTCATCTAGGCCTCTACTTACGTTTTCTAATAGGTTGTCTATAGGAATGGAAACTGGTCGCTCCACTGAAAGAATCTCTTCATCATCATTGTCGTCATCAGAATCAAGCACTTTTGCTTGTAGGTGCTGTTGTGTCGCTCCTTGATGCTGCTGGGGCATCAACTGTGGCTGCTGCTGCTGCTGCTGCTGTTCCCGTCTCAATATTTGCTGCCGTCGTACTTCTTGATGATGGCGTTGCTCAATGAGCAGTTGGGTCTCCTCCGTGTCGGAAGTGTCCATCATAGCGCTTTCTTCTGATTCCGTATTGATCAATGAATGCTGCTGTTGCTGTTGTTGTTGTTGTTGTTGTCCCTCTCGGTGCGCTTCCATCGCAGCCGGAGTAGCTTCTGTTACGGAAGACCAGCCAGGTCTCGTTTCAAGGCTACCATTGTCAGTCAACTGGCCATTGACTTGGCTTACAGCGGCTCCCAACATGCCTGCGTAATGGCCTTGAGGACGTTTTTCCACGGGCTGTACGTCACCTGTTGCTAAACCAATTTGCTGCTGATGTTCTATGTTCTCGTCGGCCGCTATTATCTGCTGTTGTTGCTGTTGTTGTTGTTGTTGACGCTGTTGACTAGCAGATAAAGCAAACTTTGCAAATCTTCGTTCCAGAAGGATTCGCTGAATGTCTAGACAGTACGAGCACCGTTCCGTAGAGGTGATGGCTGGACCTCCCTGAAACGGATAATGGTGGATGTTTGCTATCCAACCTGAGATCATATTGAAGGCATAAACCTTCCGCATGGGCAGCGTTTCTCAAATAGAGATACATGTGATACCATCATTCATCGTCAACTACGTCACTTGTAGATACACGTGTGTCGCATTTACATCACTCACAGAAATTGGTTACGTCGTACAATTTTTCAAGGAGCACAGCGAATATTGAAAATCTTACCGATTTTAGTAAATAGCGTCAGAAAGATGCAAGCATTATATCTGAACTGTACCATTCACCATATTAATCAATAGCCTATCTCATTTCGCTTAAACGATTGCATTACTTTTACTATTTTCGTTGTTATCATGCGGCTTTGATGAGACACAGACGTTAATGTTAGCAGGTATCATTGTCATGATGTACCTTAAACGTCTCCCGAAGATATTCCCACACAGATTGACTAAATAGGACGAGATCGCCGTCGGCCACAGACGGGTTTAGGCGACCGTGTGGACAGACAAACTCTTCATTATCAATAGGTCCGGGTTCAGCAAATGTGTTAAAACGATTCACCCATCGACGCGAAATATAAAACGTAGGTGAAGTCTCGTCCAGTTGCTCACACTGAGACCGCTCTATTAAATCGGTGGCATGATCCCTACGTTTTGCCATTTCCTCCGACGTTTTCCTGAGATACCGATATTATGATGAGTGTAAATACAACAATTAAAATGCATGATTTATTAAATACGTTGCCGACAAAAAAACGCGTCGTACTCGCTGTCATGCTAATTGGATAATATCACCTGCCGAAAAAGGTGTAATAATCATGTTCACATACTAATACATATAATCGAATGAGCTGTCGTTTACTATTTTCCTTTCTAGTGGTGTTTGCATTCGATATACGTACGGGTCAATTTAACAACTTAGGATAACGTCGGTTCGGATGGTTGCCGTCGGCTTGCGAAAGCTTTTTTTTTTTTTTTTTTTTGTTGTTCGATCCTTGTTGGACTTGTTGGTGGCTGGGCCTGCTGGGCCGCTCACGTAGAGCAGTTCAAAGGAAAACGGTGGAAATCGAAATTCAAATTCAATTGAACCACTCACCTATAGAACAGAACATATGCTTCACATGTTGCTACCACTGAGGGGTCGACCTTCGTAACGTACATATCATCAAATTCGTACCATTGGTTGTCGTATTCATTCTTAGCATATGATGTATAATGGCCTGAGCTTGCCGTGCCTGAATAGGGAAAGAGGAATTTGTTAGATGTCGCATTAGACAAACATTCAAATACCATATTATATTAGGATATGTAATGGGACGTATCGATTTTATAGCTACACTAGACAGTCTAGCATCTGGTTTAAATAAGCGCGATGGATATGAATATACCGAGTGCGTTGAAATTAGAAACAATGAACATCTTTAAAGCTACGTGGATTCAAAAGAATTAGTCTGCGAGAAGTTTGGTGTAAAAAATGATACTGTAGCTAACCGTGATGGCAGATAACCGCAACGAGATCATACGTGGTCACTTTATCTCTGGCCTGCGGGTGCGTGAACGGGGCCATATCGAGTCCTTCAAGAGGAAACGATACACGACTAGAGATCTTTGTCGAGAAGAGCAATTCATGACGAAACCGTTTCAAATGTATAGATAATACCTCCGGAAGTTCTAACAACTGTAATAAAATCATGTAGAAAATGCATATGGATAATGAATGAAACACCCAAGTTAATCCTCTGGCGTCCATTTGTTATTGCAATCAGCTGTTTTTCTCAACGCTAAGATAATGAGTAACGTTTAGATCGATACTGCGGTATAAACCGATACGCATACGGATAAGCGACCTGAGCTACTGATGTTGGGAGGCCTCACTACAGCGCCTTCAACATACGTTTTCTACGCCACCGAGACAAAGTTTAAATTTAAAGAACGTGGAATTATAGGAAACCTATTTTAAATTACGGTTCCCGATGAAACCAGATTTATTTTATTAGTTGACTATAGCCAAGGTATAGTGAATTGACGACTGATGATTCCGTTGGTGATGAAATCATAATATACGAAGTAGTATTGGAATATTGACGACGTTATAAATTATCTCAAGTCTAAGTAAAAAAGAAATGAAACATCTGTGAAAAATGCTTTACTTCTTCTTTGATTAGGTTACTATTGTTGTGTTAAAGTACTATTATTAAAATCGTTCATACCTTGGAGTACTTGATGCCATTACGTAGTTTATTGCACTTGCCACACGAGTACATATTATCCCCTTTGAGCTCATCCGCGGAGAAGAACGCTGCCAGGCAATCCGTAAGCGACACCGATGGACCCCATACCCAAGCCCAGAGCTTGAGCCCCGGAGTTAAAGATCGCGCAGGCGAATATGCATTTACAGCAGACAATGATTCATGAAACAGAAATTAGGTACTATTGTGCACTTCGTTTGGTTTGTAGCAGATCAAAGCGCCCAAGTCCGCGATGCGCACTTCTTCGACGCAACCTTATATTTTCTATTTTAGTTTAAAAGAATGCAAAATGCTGCTCAAGCATAAAGTAAAAAGTAAGTATCTAACGAAAGGATCTGAGTCTAAATGAAGCCGACAGCGCCCACTTTACTGCCTTCTTTGTAATACTGTGTCTAAGGGGCTCGCGAGCCAAAAACAGTTACTTCATAACTGTTTTTCTCATGGAGTGAGTCCGAAGGCCAGTCAGAAAGCCTAAAGATTAAATCAATCGACTAACCCATCCAAAAAGCCATTCTATCCAACCCTGTTGGCGGGTTAGGCTCTGCTGCTGCTGAATTTGTGCGGCAGCCAGCGAGTTCAGACTGCTGGAGCTCGACGCGCTACTGAGGTCGCCACTCTGATGGGGCACGTGGTGCAGCCTTTCAAGATGGTCCCGCGAAGGTATCGGTAGAGATAAGTCCTGAAACACTTCCTTCGTCGATGAGATGTTTTCACAGGTTCTGCATTGCACTGAGGATAGAAGTCGGCCATCAAAGACGTCCGAGATAATGGACCTATACGAGACCTGAGGCTTTTTCGGATTGGGCACACTGCTGCCCGCTGCGTCCGGTACTGCGGATACCCCTGCGGAGGCAATTGCTTTTTGCAATTCTACCGAAAATAACCAAAACAAAGGCAAAGGTAAACATATACACACACGGAAATCAAAAAGGAACAAAAGCGAGTCAGAAATTATGCTTTGCTCAGTTCTGAGCGCTTAAATGTTCCGAACTTTATATCGTGCATTCTGCGAGCATCGCTTTAAGCGTTGGCGGCCGTTATTTATTTGGCCAAGTTCCGCAAAAACACGTTTTCCATGATTTTCCAGTTAATAAGGTTACCACATTCACAACGTTTCTATGATGCTATACTCCTCGTATGAGTTTTTATCGAACAGTCCTTTACTGCATTAATTTTCGGTTACTTGCCTCCCATCAGTAGATTGCACAGCGATGTCTCAAATGCCCGCTGGTTGTCCGCCATGTGATTCTTGTCCGAGGCCGAAGCTTCACTCTTCTCCGAGCTGAGTCCCGAATCACAGGTCTCAAAGTCGTCCTCTGCATTGCCCTGCTGTGGATGGCCTTGCTGCTGCTGCAATTGGTTATGGTGCTGATGCTGGATCTGCCGATGTTCAAGCTCGTGCTGCTGCGGCTCTCCAGGTCTATCATCCGTCGTATGATTAGCATGAGGCCGGGCATGTTTATGGGAGGTAGCTCCCCCTATCCGTTCTCCTGCACCCGTTTCCTTGTAAAATGGCGAACGCATCTCTTCGTCATCATCCTCATCATCGGCGTCCTCGATGTCAACGACTTCTTCATCGTCCTCAACTTCGACCACAAGGTCATTCAGGTTCCTTGAACAAGAGCTGTGAAGATGACCGACGCTGTGATAAATCGCTAGGCCTGAATTTTGATGGATCTCTTCATCATCGTCGTCAACATCCCCTTCGTTTTCAGCCATATCGTCAAGTAAACGGTGTCGACGGCGATTGCCACTGCTGTTGCGACCGTTACGCGACGACTGAAGATGCCGTTTATGGGACAGCTGGGTTGAATGCGGATCGCCTCCCCTCTTATGGTCTCCCCTACAGTTGTTTCCCGCTTGCAACTGCTGCTTAAGCTGGGGTTGGTATTGGTGTTGAGTCAAGGGTTGTCGGTGGGATGCCCCCAATTCATGATGTTGGTTATTACTCCCTAACGCTGGGTCTAGACCCGCAGTCGTCCGGTCAACGTTTCTGGCGTCGCTAACCATTGAACCTTCAGCGTCGTCGAGCTCGGACCTTTTTGGGATATATTCTCGCTTAAGTTCGTCATGTAGCTGATCGAGAAAACACCGAAGGAACTCTTGCGCGTCCTGTTGTGTCGCGCCACGAAATACAGGACAGACTGACTTAATTCCGTAAGCGACGCCGGACGGGACAGCGTATGGCGGTCGCCTTTCGTGCCACATCTGTTGAATCATTTTACTGTAGCTCACAGCGAGATTAGCGCTTTGGGTTCGTCCATCAGAACGGATGACTTGCGGCGAAATGGGCGTATTGAGGAAGTATTGAGTAAGTTGAGGACAGTTCGATAGTGCTTGCAAGGCGGCATTCATGTAGCACGTATTGCCGAGATTCTGAAGGCCGGCTAAACCAAGCGGTCGCTGTATCAAATCGTCGGATGGTCGCTCACTTTCGGCGATATCAGGATGCAAAGATGATCGGCACGGAGCAGGAACATTATTATCAAGATACACTTCGGCCTCGCATGTATGACACCTGCGTAAATTAGATGAAAAAAATGAATATAATTCAGTTTATTTCGCAAGGCAACGGATACGATTGCGGCAGTGTATGATTGAACTCTGAGATAAATGCATTCAACGGCACAAGTTAGCGATTTCTTCTGAAGTAACTTGTGGGGCAGTCATGAACAATATCCTACTCTATGAACCAGACCCTCGGCTCGGTAATAATTGCTGAATCTGGCTATATAAAGCATTACTTATGAGTAAAAAGAACTTCGCGAGTGTGTTACTTACCATATACGCTTGCTTTTGAGGTTAATCATTAAAGAATGTTCCTGATTTGAGGAAAAATGGGCCGCCGAATGATCGGCACGCTTTTCCCCGCAGCCGACATAACCGCAATCCCTATGTAAACAACACCATAAACCCGCCTCGTCCTCGCCACAAGTTTCGCAGCGTGATGTCTTCTCCTGAAATGAGCACATCGCGCTAATTAACGTGAAATAACTATATCGGAAAATTGTTTCTTAAGCATAACAGACTTTGGTGATTCAGGAGGCGGCGCAGCTTGGGTGGCTAATGCGCATCTTTTCAAGTATGCTGTCATGGTAATCATGAACACGCCACGATTGTAGGTCCAGCGTTAGCAAATGGGTCCCTTGGCATATGATTACCTTGCCGTTTCATAGGCCTATTGGAGAAGGCGTAATTAGGTCTAGCAAGGTCCACTTGGCCAGACCTAGTAGGGGTAAACCCTTGACATTAAATTACTGATGCTATACATATTGCTATGCATATAAAAGGCGTTTGAAGTAGATAAAAAAAAATGAAAAGTATTTATAATGAACAAAAAATGTAACGATATGTAATATAATAACTTATTTCATAAATATTTTATTTTAATTACGAAAATAATAATAATGTAATAAATTAAAAAAGCAATATACTTTATGTGAAACGTCCTTGTCGACATAACTCACCTTATCGGCTATATCGGCCGGGGACCAATCCCCTATGGTGATGACATGCGGGCATGATGATTTGTGCATGTTGGCGACGACTCCGTAAAGTTGAGCTTAGTTTCGGATGACAATTTTATCTACTGGAGACCCCGACTTGAGAATTCACCGCCGTTCAACAGGGAAACAACGGCAGTCACGGAGCCGTGCGCTACACTACAAACGCTGCGGTGAATAGAGTTTTGAAAATTTTGGCTATACCCTCTTTTTGAGCAACGGTGCAAAACGACGATAATGCCAAGATGGATAAAAACCAAATACGGGGTATACGCAGGGCCGTTAAGGCGTCCTGCAAGTTTACGACCCCCCCCCCCCCCTGGGAGACGACTTAATTCTGAAATATAATAGTAATATTGTTTTTATTCTCAGAATTTATATGGATGACAACAAACAATTAAATAAGAATGGTGTTTAACATGTTTTGAATTTACTGCTAGTTCTATGAGTTCACCGTATTTGTAAAGAAAACGTTGTCTTGCGGATATCACAAACGAAACTATTAATGTTCGGGCACAGATCCAAACAAATTAAGCAGTGAAGTCATCAAGCGTGAGGACCGTAAGCAAATTTATCTATCTACGATTTTTTTTACGTATTGGTTGATGTCGAACTTTAGTTTAGACACGACTTGAGTATAACTGCACGAAGAGAATTAAGTAAATGAGGTAATGAGAAACTGGAAGCATTCTAATTGAACGCGATCTTGTGTACTAACGGCTTTAATTTCCCCTATTCTGAGCGATATTGTTGCCGTAGCAAAATATAATGTGATTTCGTACTGGCCGTTTCATGCACAGCTGGATTTCAGCGACAAATTGTGCGAGATTTGGCGTTGAATAGCAGATGGCTACGATAAATTTCGTTAGTATGAATTCATCTGGACGGACGCGTTCCATATTGTGAGATTCAATCAATACGTTCAGCTTAGACAACGTTCCCAGAGTGTGCATGCTTAGAAAGTTATGTCTTCGATGTATCAGCTTTATGTCTTAAATTCGATAAGTAGACTTCAACTACGCTGTTAATTGTTGTATGTATTTAATAAATTGCTAATTGGAAATCGCTCCCAGTTTTACAGACTTATCTTCTAGATAGCCCACAAAAGAGGCTCATATGGTTTAATGAGGTACCTAGTATAAAACAGCATCTTACAGATCTTCTTCACATAGAATAGCAAACAGCGTATACCAGGTGAAAAACGTACGTTAAAGTAAGTTTAATATGATAATGACTAAATATAAATGAGAAACAAGACTTAAGCATCTTTCAAAAAAATAACATATAAAAAGCTGTCTTTGGCTCTTATCAAATATTAGTTTTCTTACCCTTAAGACAAGACAACCCCGTCATCTTATACTCACAATACTTCTAACATCAAGCTTTCCGGCAAAAAGCAAATTACTCAAATCGGTTCAATTTGATCGACAGAATTAAATTCGCAGCTATCCTTCGCTCTCATTCTCGCCATTATAATTTGTTCAAATAGAGATGCAGACAACCAAATAAACATCCGCCAACATTAGTTCAGACACACGAACACAAGTGTACGAGATTTATAATTAAGCGAGACACCTGATAATCAATTGTTTCCACCCTCTCTGCCCCGTGTGATTACCAAGAACAGGTCAAGCCGCAGGCAAATGAATATATGTAAAAAAAAAAAATGAATATATATATAGCCAATAACATTGACTCTGTTGCTTGTTTTGTCCCCAGAAGTGGAGACGCACACTTCGACCCTGCCGGACAGAAGGCGACTCAATCATTAACACCATACACATAATCAGCATCATCATCTTCATCATCATTATTAACAAGTAAAAGTCGCAGCGTCAGTAACTGGTCAAGACAGTGAAGGTATCCGGCGCCAACCCGTCACCGTCTGTACGTATAGTCAATTGCCGGGGCGGAAGTTACACACATTTTGATATTGTTTCTTCTAAATTTTGGGTGTTTGCCTTTGTGTATGCATGTGTCTATGGCTGTGATCGTGACACAATTCCTGGTGCTGCTGTTTAATCCGCGGAACGACAGTCGCAGCTACAGCGGCAACGGATAGTAATCTTTGCTGCTGTGCAATAATGCTCGGTGGCAAAACGCAAATAAATGTCTGCTGTGACAAATGCACCTAGCTTGAACAAACAGCTTCACAAATGACCCAAAAAAAATCAGGGTTCGTCTGCAGAATAAACAGTTGCATATATAGATAAGTGCAAGTTGTACTTTATTCTTTTTTAGGTGGAATCTTAGAACCACGCTGCAACAGCTTATGTGACGTGGTGAAGACATTCGCCCCAGTGGTTGGCTGAATAGTGAGAAACTTCGGAGCGCGGCACCTTTGCTAATTGTAAAGAAACGCACTGTGTACGGATAGTCTTATTACCGTATCTTATCTAATTTCGGGTGTCGAAGATATTCTATTCAGCCATGTGCAGATTCACTGGCTGTTTTAGCGGTCGAATTATAAACAACAGCGTAGACAATGAGAACATACGTGGATCTATATAGCTGGGTTGAGAGCGACCCTTCTCATATAGCCTGCATATACACGGCGAGACTTGAGTACGTATCTTGTAAAAATCTTTGAAAGCTTTCAGCTCCGCCAGTTTCCGAATTGCAAATCAAAATTTAAAGAAAAAATTGTGAATAAAACAAATCAATTGCTAAATGAGGTCATTAGCGCATATACGGAAAGTCGTGGAACGTAGTTATCTGTCTTGATATCCACGGGAAGTTCCACAGTGAGTTTATGATGTATTGAACAATAGAACATCATTGATTAGAGAATTCTATCAATATCGCAGTCAGTTCTTGATAGTATCTGTCTCTTAATCAGTCAAGAGGGTTTATTAGGCCGCGGAAAGTGTGGAAACTGACCAATAACAACAACAAAATGTTTAGAACGCTCTGACAGTTATTCTTATATACGCATGTTTTACAAAAAATCGATAAAGATGTTGCTGTAATTAGTGTGCAGATCGCGTCGTTGCAAAGCATGTTCGAAAAAATTGTGAATTTATATGTACGACCCTTCTGTTTCTATTGATGAAAAAAGGGGAGCAAAATGCTTGTAGTGACCAAACTAGTTTTCGCCGGATGACTGGTAAATGTGCCTTTCTACCTTTTTTGGCAATAGCTATTTCCTGTGCGCGGACGAGTGCGGTCACGACCGTCATGTTTTTCCTTTTCGTTTCAAATGAAGAAACGAACTTCCCTACGTTGATACCGTCGAACCCAATTGGTGGTTATTAATAATGATATTAATGTTAATAGAAGGGTTGGTAAATCAAGTAGCTTACCGTTCAGTTTACAGAGCAATCTAGCAGTAACACCAACTGACGGTACATGAAGAAAACACATTTTTTTCGGTGATTTTTGCTACGATTTTAAAACAAATCTTTGTAAAGGAAGCTATTACAATTATTTATGACTATAGATTTCGCTATTACTTTAGTACAATATTAACCAATGAATTTCACAAATAGAAATGCCTGTTACCTTAATATTACAGCTGTATTATTATGGCTCAACTACTAATTTGAATGGAACAGGAACGCCGACTGCCACTTGCTATTTCTCCTTGTTGTCGCTACGCACACACTTCGCAGATAAACCGCAAGCCATTATAACCATTTTGGGCACCTTGGAGATACAAGAGCTGCTCGCCACCATGTGCTAGCAGTTTCCATTGAAGCTCTGTAATTATCTCGTTCTATTGACAAGACATCCGATTGTCAGCCTCTCGGCTGAGTTTTCCGGGTTACCGAAATCTTGTCTACGACGATTGGCGACTATAGACAACGACCTTGTATTCTCGGGTGAAGCTTTTTAGCAGACATGCTATATAGCGGTAAGTGGGCAAACGATTTTCACGAGGCTACAGATGAGGTCCTTGAAGGTTTGTTTCTAGCAGAAAATGTTTCGTTATGAAAGAAGACCCGTATTTATTAGACCGTTTCGAGACCAACTCCTGCAGATCGAGTCATCGAGTGTTCCAGTTAGACTACCCGCCTTGACACGCTGCACGCACAGATTTTGCTTGAGTTGATACGACGCCAGAAACAGTTTATGCTGTTAACCTTCGACAGGACAATTATTTTTTGCTCATCACTTCAACAAAGACACCAACATTGAGTGGATCATTTTGCACGATATACTTATTCAAACTTTACATAGGTAAGCAAGCTGGTCATATATCATCGCGCTCAATTCAGAAATTTCACTTTCGGATTTTTGCCATTATATAATGGCACACGTAGAATGCCTTCGTAAGCTTTCATGTGGTGCGCCGCATGAGCTGCTGCCATTGCTAGCTCGAAAGAAAAGCTTGTTCTTTTAGAACTGTATTCGCCTTTGCGTCGGGCCTGATCCCTTTGCAAAAATGCCAGTAGATAAGGCTATGTAAAGGGCAGCGTGCTGGCATCTTCTACGGTCTGCCTAGTACAACATGTGTTAGTTATAAATTGAACTGTTTAGAGCTAGTGACACACAACACACATTGCATTTTTATATGATTAAATGAGTCTATACATTTCGCGCAATGAGCGGGAACATCGGAAAACGATGGCATAAGGTAACGCAACGCGATCCCCAAGAGACACATGAACAAGAAATGGCTGAAATGGAAATCATAGAAGTCAGCTTCGATTGCTGGCTTAACTTAGCTTAACTTTATCATGAGAGAATGGTTATAGTACTAGGAGTAAGAAAATGTAAATTAAAATTTATAATGATTTTAATACATCTTCTTACACTTATGGCTTCTACTTCTGTTTCCAAGTAGAGCCTATTAACACCATTGTAGTGATAGCGATCTGTTATAAGGATCAACACGTCAAACGTGTCAACAAAAACGCTTTGTGGTGTATACGTCGTACGAGAACTACTGTTATTAACAGACTCACCTCAATCGGCGAATTGGAGCTCGGAGTACCCTAACTGGGTACACAAATCAGTCAACCAAATGGGCCAATTATGATCAGAAAAGAGGCTGGTGCAGTTCCTTGGCCAACATCGCAGCTCCAGCATACTCGATAGGCTGGATATCACGAGCAGAACTAACTTTTAAAAAACAAGTAGAAAGTGACGCATGATTACTCCCTTAAGGTAGAATTTAGCTAAGATAGGAGGAGGAGAGGGGGCATGGTGGGGGGGGGGGGGTATAAGTTCCAAAAATTGTGTGAATACAATCCACAATATTAGTTATTATTTACTATTTATCACCTAATATCATTCTCGGCTCTTGTAGTGAACCAACGTTATGCACACCGTCAGTACATTCGAAATCATATACATATATAAATGTACTATGGCTGGCTGATTTTTTGCGTATGAGATTCAAGCAAACCAAACTGAAAAATAGTTGCTATCTGTAAAGATTGCATCTTTTGCCTCGTTTGATCTGACTTGCATAACTTGATATTCACTTACTGAACGTAAAGATGAATTACGAAACCAGCTCTAATAGTAATAATAATAATAGCTAATCTTTACTTTGAATGCTCTGCCATTCTGATACACATCAAAATATAGGACATTCGACATGTAAGTAGATTCATAGTTTTAGTATATAATCTTCTAGAAGACGAAGAGCATTTTCTGCTAAATAGAGTATTTCTTTACGGTTCTGGTTAAAACATTATTCAGACGTCCGTAGGAAATAAGTATCGAAGAAAATCTATTTACAACCGATCGCAGTTGTAATGCTACCTTCTTGTTATTATTAAATTATTATAACAGCTTTTAAAGAAAGCTAAAACATTACTTCGAGAAAGTACGTCGCACTGTGGGGTTACAGAATTAATAACTGATTAGCCAGCGGTAGGAACATCTCTTCCAAGGGACGTTCCGGCTCATAAGTACTCATAAGTACGATTTATCATTACATCAAATAAATACAGTTTGTGTTATTAAGCTTTTCAACACACAATAAGGTGATGACCTTAACAACACTTCATTTTTCTGTTGAGCTCAGTTATTGTCCGACCGGACTACACGACTTTCTCACTAACCTCTTCGATAAACCCGATAAATTATCGTATTCCCATATATATATATAATCCTCGTCCATGAAATATAAAGACATCACTGGGCATTGCAATATAGTGAATCGAGTTTTCAATTTTGTCTCGTCCTTATATGATGATGACCCTTGCATAAGTTACTTTTGAAATGTCCGTCTACCAAGATCGAATTGAAAGCTATTTAAACTACGTATAATATTTAGCTAATATCCCTCATAAGACCTGGTAGCAATTGCCATTTAAAAGCCAACTATGATTTAGTCCTTGTAATTTTCCATATGCCAGAAATGTGTAACAGCATATTGCCAGGAGCAGTTATTAATGAGCCATTTTCAGGTCACATATATGCAAACTGGCATGGCTCGTCTAGCCCAAACCTCGACTATGCATTAGTCCAATACAGACACTTACTAGCTTAAGTTTTACCAGCGGGCAATCTTACTTTTCAAACAATATATATATATATATATATATATATAGAAAAGGAAAGACCGACGACGGGCTATGGGAGTATCTCATAATTTTTCCTACAGGGAATTACTCCTGTAATGTTATTCGTGTTTTGACCATTGCAACGACGAAATAACTAAATCTTCCTACATTGATAAATATTATAAAACCGGACATAATTGAATTAGATAATAAGAATCGCAAGTGATTTATTCTGGGTCGTTATTTCCGTCGATAATTATGCGCGGTTTTCTTAATATTATTAAGCAAAAATTGCACAAAGTTTTTTTCGTCGAACAATTATTTTTTTCTGGTTCAAAAACAACGAGTTTTTAATAGTTAATAATGACACTACTGGCTCAGCGGGGTTATTATAAAAACAGACATAACCAGCTAGGATCACTAATATACAAATCATAATTCAAATCACATTCAGCCCCTGTATCGGGCGCTCGGTATTAAGCTATATTTGTCACTACAACGTCAAACTCACAACTGTGACTGCAATATCTCAACCAATTTCAGCGGAAAGCAAGCCAGATAATTATTAGCGTAAAAGAATCCATGACACTTGGCTACGCTGATAGCTTAATGAAATCCAATTGTCTCTAATAACCCAGATTTACTTTTATTGATCCCCAAACCTAAATTAGCTGCCATTGTAAATATTATTTACAACGATTATCACTCTGGTTGGCTTGTATGTTGTATCTCCAAGACGAGCGGCTTCAACGATCGAATAAGCGTTCGTTCTGAAACAAGGTAAAAGGAGATGTACCTAGTAGAATCTATTCTACCTACCTGTTCTGATTAAACACACGTTCACCCGTCTATAGCCCCAACAAGAAGTTTGATCCAATACCATGATCAATCCGTTTGCGATATCGTAGAATTTTTGTTTAATACTGGCATTATGGAATTATGGCTATATTCAAAACACAGGAAGAACACGTTCCACTATTAGTTGCCCCTTAATTCGTTTTAGTTGTTGTATTAGGTAAGAAGGTAAGCCTAATTAGCTTAAAGTGGTACAAATTAAGGTCCTCGTTATAAAAGTAAACAACTTTCCGGTCAATGCGCATGCTATAAACCTGCGGCCTATAAACGGCCTTTTAAACACTGAATAAGCTTCGTCTCATACTTAAGATACATGTAGATTATGCAACGTGAATTTAACTTAACCAGTGGCTGTCGCGAGCAACCTAGTACTAGTACCTAGTAATGCCATTTTTCGGAAAAAATATTCCTTCAACAGCTATCGTATTTTTGCCTTAATCCTCTTTGACCATTTCCCTTTTGTTTACCTCGATAGGACACGTTTCTATTAATTCCGTTATTTGACCGCTTAATTGCGAAACTCTATCATTGTCTTAAGTCAAAATCACTTTCAAAGCGCCCCTTTCACCAACAAAGTAATAGGCATCCATACTTTATATAATAATGAGCTGCAGATATTCTCCTTTAAATTAGAGTGTGCCTAAGAGCCTTTCTTCATAGTCATACACCGCCCGCCTCGCAGACTAACTCATGGCGATGTTTTCACGTGATAGTAAATCGCATTTATGTTACTATCATGTCTAAAATTTATAACCGAACTCAGTTTATCGTGTACTATTTACTGTTCAATCTTCTTAGTTCAGACGTATGGTAAAACTACCGAAAAGATTTAACAATCTTCAGCGAAAAACGGCTGTCTTCGCAAACTACGTAGAATAAATACATTTTACATAGCTTGCTGATCTCGATTTTCTTTATCACATTAGTCGTCGCGAAGAAAAATCAGCACCTGTTTATCTTCTGACCACTTCCAAAGTATTGTGCAACAACCCCGTCATTAGTCAATGGACATCTAGTTGCTTTTCACGTTATTTGGCTGGGCTTACGTGATTCTTCTTTCTTGAGCGCTTGTGCAGGTGCGTATTGGCCTGTATTATTCTTCATTTAAAACTTCATTGTATTACCTTCGAGGATAATCGCATTCTTTCATGCTATTAATTAAGTTTTTATCAGTGAAGACACCGAGATTACATTTGTGGGAGTGAGACGGTAATCAGCTTGCTTGTTTTTGCTCGTTACTTTCACACAAGGTCGATAACACCATTAAAGCGCTGTTTCGATGTGACGTTTATTCTTAGAATGTCTCGTCCCACTCAGGATTTACTTAGAACCACGTTGGCAACCTGTACGATAGGCTCACTATTTACCGAATTCTCTACTCCTGAAAACTAAGTTTTCACGCAGATACATGTACGTTTGGGCTGAAACTTGCTTAGTTTGTTTTGCATAGGTCGTTCGCAATAAGCCATGCAGTTAAGCGTGTTTTTTCTATTTATATATGATACTCGCTCGCTGGCCAGTTGGACTTAACAACAGCTCAGCCCTGTGCCCTTACACTGTCTCTAGATGGCTGGTGTCGTAACGACAAAAATGAACGTAGCCATTATCCACACAAAAACAAAACCGAACATTCAACTGCCTGAGTAAGAACAGAAAGCCTGACGAGCTCATTGAAACAAAAACTTCGATATAACATCGGTAGTAAAAATTGTATATCTATACGACAACCAACAAACGTAATATATAGTATTATCTATCACTTACGTCATTATTCTCTGTATCAACTGGTGCGTAACGTTAGCTGCGAAGTCGTTAATTATTGATACTATTACTTGAATTATCAACAATAGCTGCAAATGGCTCTACTAGTGAACTGCTCTACCTAATCTCATAGTCGCTTTGTTCTACATAATTAATTCCTTATTTTCTGTTTTCATCGTATGGACACCTCGGAGCGTACAAATGATTAGCCCAAGCCGTAACAATAGTAACGCAAATAATGGTAACGAACGGCCAATTACGGTTCCTATACAAAAATCTACGTAAACAACTCATTCATTCCTTCACTATTATTGTTGTATGTTGTGGATTTAACATATGTATATACATGTTGGACTATCCGATTTCTATGCATCCGTCCGTTCGCTTTGCAGGGAAGACGCAACCCATCGGAGTATACGATGCAGTGAGATACATACGCATAGCTCAGCCCCAGATTCGCAGTCTTCAAAAGGACCAAATTATTCTGCACCATAAGTAGTCAGAGTAATATATGGGATAGCTAAGACATTTGCTTGCGGATGAAAAATGCCTATGAATTTTGGGCACAACTTCGCGAACGAACGGATTGTAGTACAGATAGTACATATATATAGATCACTACGCGATGCCCCATAACTATTGGTAAGCTTACCGCCGCCGTTGACGGGGTGAAATCCAATTGACTACTCGAAAAATTACTTCTAACGACTCGTCCTCGTTGACAACGAATCGAACACACAGACACACACGAAAGCACCATCGCTCAGACGATCATGGCCCTTCTATTGTTGGCTACTACGAATACTGCCGACGATGGTAGCAGTCGCAAATGCAGCACCAAACACCCGTAAATCAGCCATGACACTGCTCGATGCTGGAACGACGAATAATTTCGAACGGCCGAATACCGAATAGCGAAACACTGAATTTCGAAGCAAAATAAAAGCGCGTAAATTTGACTGTGAACGGAAAAAAACAGGTACATTGCGAATCGGTCCACTTCTACGTCGCGAATGCCGGTAGCAACAGCCATTAGAATAATCTCTTCGAGCGAATATTGGCTGGAGGATCGCTGATGGTGACCTTGCGAGAAGCGATAAAATTAGTTTTTCGATGGATTCGTACTACTTAGTAAAAGATTTGTTTTTGTTTCGTTTAAAGAGTATTGTGTTTTGTGGAGAGAAGCAGTGCGACGTCCTGTAATTTATTAGGGAAAAATTAATTACCGTTCGTGGTTGGTAATTTATTGACTAATCGTTTGCTAGAAGAAGAAAGTGCATCCTCTTTACTGTCAATAAGGAAAATCGCCGGGTAAACGATTAACGACTAACTTCTATTGCTATTGTGTTTCGGTGCGTACAATAGGCTCACGCTATTTTTACATGGCGCTGGGCGAGGGCGCTGCCTGCGCTTGCATCATACACAAATTAGTGCAATTAACACTACTGCTGATAGCTACATTTTGCCGATTTTCTTTTCGTGCTTAGTTTCTCCGATCTATAACCTTGGAGCTCTATCAAGTTTCAATTAGGAAGTTACTTTTCATGGGCTGTTTCAGTCTTATTGGCAAGGGCACTTAGAGCAACCTTAGGAAACAATGTTTGGCAGATCTTACAGACGACGCTCATTGTGATTTGTGTACATAACAAACAGAACGCAAAAAGACGTAGCGCTAATGAAGTTAATTTGTTCGATTTTCAGTAGGTATACCTGAAGTTTGGTAACGTCTAAAACAGAAATTCTACCGAAAATGACGGATGAGACAGAAAATGCTTCCGGTAAGTAATTAGCTTACTCTTGCCTACATAATTCAGTGAGCAAAAAGCATTTAGCGAGACTGTACGGTTACGTTATACATTTTACATATTATGTATAAATGCAATAGTCGCAACGTGTTTAATCTACTCTCGCGGAATATGCCTGGCATCTTACACTTAGCATTTAATTAGGAATAGCAGTATTGCATTAAGATCAGACAAACTGCACCACAGCAGCATAGGCGCTATACATTTCTTATTTCGCTCTGGAAGTAGACATGTTCGAAGTATATGGGCTCCTAGTGACAGTATCTGTATTTTGAATTGTACTGTATTTACGCATTTGCACTACTGGCAGCGCCCAGCGTGATGAACGAGCCGCTAGACATGGTTCGATTGTCTCTCGATGAACGCGTATATGTTAAAATGCGACACGAACGCGAACTTCGGGGTAGATTACATGCTTACGACCAACATCTTAACATGGTCCTTGGAGATGTAAGTATTTTATGTTATACCTACCTAGATATATGAATAGAAAAGTGATACATACTATTTATAATCCTTTTTCTTTTGTATCGCACAAAATGTTTTACTGCACATTTGCATATTTTGAAGCGCCAATTTCATTGGACCAACATATAAGTGTATAACTAAAATTCGATTAGAAAGAAACCGAATTATATGTCTATGTGCACAAAATAATTCTACAAACATCAATTGTTTGCTTTACCGCATACAAACATAAACAAGCATCGTAGAAATAAGGTACACGTACCATTTTCTAGACATCCTTATGCTTCTGTATCGCGCGAGTAAAACTAAGTTACATTAATCATAAATCAGTTTTCGTTATCGAAGGCCTCGTTCGAACCAAATCGAGTCGCTGTTTTTGTGGATGTTTCTCTACCGTAAAGTGCTATATATTGACGGACCGTTCTCTGGTCATTCAGGTGGAGGAAACTGTGACAACGGTTGAAATCGACGAGGAGACTTACGAGGAAGTTTATAAAACGTCACGCCGCTCCATACCGATGTTGTTTGTCCGAGGCGACGGAGTGATTCTGGTTAGCCCACCGTCTAGGGGGACAAATTGAAGAGTTCCAGTTATCTGGCGTGCAAATGATGATGGGATAGTTGTTTTTGAGCGTCGTCCCTGCATTCGGGCTGAACAGCAATCACAGCGTCGATTCTAGAAGACCCATTTAGCCGGACGCCTATTTATTATTATGAATCGAATACTCAATAGCTGACAACCCCATTTTTTGGTCCCAACGATGTAGTTTGCTAGTATGTTCACGGCTCGGTAGGCTGATCATATGGAAGCAGTCGACTGTGTCCTGGGATGTGCTGGGGCTGTGGGGTATATATCATTGGGCTGGATGGAGCTATTGAAGAGTAATGATTATCTTCATCCCTAGACTTCGGTACCCCTCAAGAGGAATAGGTAGCATTGTAAACGTGCTGAAAGAGTGTATGAAAGAGTATTGAGAATGCTGTTCTTTGGAGTAGAAGCAAGAGACCGACCATGGTCCCACGAACTTGAATATTCGCCTATAATTACATATTAACGAATCTACGCGATGGTTTAGTAAGAACATAGTTGTGATGAATGTGGCAATTAATTAAGTGTACATGATGCTATTAATAAGATAATCTTGATTGACCTTGACTCTCTTTAAGCAGAGTTTAGCAAGCGAAATATCTAGCACAAAAGGAGAAAAAGTGAAATGTCCAGAACAAACTAAATATATAAATAGCACAGCGGCTCCATTTTACAAAATTGAATCTTTTTTGTAGGAAGTCAAAAAGGGAGTAAATCGATAGTTGGGGCAAAGCAGCCGTAGAGTTAAGTTAGAAAATCAATAACATGGTTCCGGAATGCGTTATTCCCAAAAAACAGTCAGGAAAAAACAGATCTTCATACCGCTTCCACTGTGCGTTCCTTTGATGAATTATGTATAAATATATAGCCTTATAAACTGTGAGCCTAAGAGTAGATAAAAAAGTTTTTGTGATGATATTCACTGCAAAAATAAACAAGCGCAGCTTGAGAATTTAATAGATGATTTCTCTCTTGCCGAAGAGATACAGGATTGAAGTGCTCAATCTCAACTGATTTGAAAGTAATTTTTTCAAGACATTCCGAGACATTTTTCGAATAGAACTAAATAGATCAAACGGTATATTCGACTAGATCAAATGAACTATTTGGATTTCAATTTTATTTACATAGCGGTTGTTAAACTAACACACAAGCAAGAGTATCGGCTATAGCACGTCTAAAAAGGTTCATACTAGTATCAATAGTTATATTGCAGTTATATAACTGTACACTGATGTAGTACGTTTTGTATGTGCTTCGCGCCTAGGATATTGATATGACTAGGTTGATTCCTAAATATCTGAAGTTCTGTGATGCAAGTCGACTCAATGGATAAGTCCATGTTTTGGTATAGCCATTAATTTTACATGAAATCTTTCCATAACAATATGAGCATATAAACGAAGCATAATATATATAGCATAATATATATAAATATACATAGCATAATATGTATTTTACACATTAAATTTAGAGATAAAATTGGCCATATAAAGAAATAGTCTGGTAGCCTAAACAGACAGTTGTCTACAGACTGCCGATATCCCTACTTGCTAGGAAAACAGAAAATTCTAAAAAAATTTGTTCGCAAAGTTATGTACGTTTTCAAAACTTTTCAGCTTAAACTGCTTTAAGATTTAATCCTTATTATTTTTTTGAGTACCTATTATATATTATCACTTACCTTGCAGAATCATGTAAATTGAACACCAGAAATAAGACTTTCAAGGACCTTGGCGTGCGACAAGGCTTTGTTTGCAGGAAACGAGCTCAAGGCATAATTTCTGATCACGTAAGTTCTCGACGTCGCCTGGTTGGGGACACTAACGACAATAAAACAGTGTCCTAATAGCGAAAAAGAAAAAGCAAAATAAAGATGGACTCAATACGTTAGGTAAACTTTATCTGCATTTAATGAAAACGTTGTATGCTGAAACTAAAAAATACGATTCTCCCACAAATTAGCTTTGGAGCAACTTTTAAAAAGTTCACAGCCGGACTAATCATAAAATGGTTTGATTTGATTATTCACTTACTGTCTCTCAATCACTCTATCTCGATCTTTGATTGCTGATAACGTTCCTATTTGTAGAATTTTTATATGAGAAACGTGGGTTTTTAAGGCCAAATCTTCGAAATACTGTTGGGTACACGAATGCTAGATCGTGTTGGCATTAAAAGCATCGGAAATTGCGGAAGCAATCGGAAACAAAATCTAACAGTCATGTCGGCTTGCCACCTTGGTAAATTGTTAAGGCTCGAGTATATAACGGTTCAAATGCTGCTACGCTATCGCGTCTCCAGCTTGGATGCAACGAACTTTCATAAATTTTCGACAGACTACTAAGGAGTGTATGCGTTTGTTTCTGATGACTGGTATCTTAGAAAACATGTCACGCGTTTTTCGCTTGTATCTTGTCTTGGAACAGTTAGCGGTTTTTAATTTGAACTTTACTATTCGATAGGTTACTCGATAGCCTTGCTAAAAAATATAAAAAATAAATACGTGTAATTGTAGTAGAATTTAATTGGTGACAATATGGTAATAGCAATGCTGACTCATCAGCAGGTTGTTGCGGCAGCATTTCTTGGTATAACCGTTACAGTCGTATACACTACCCTAATCCACCCAGAGGCCGTTAGCTCAACGAATGTTTCGCAAATCTAAAGGACTCAAGATTTCTGCCGAGCGGTAACTTCATACTTGGTCCATTCCGATGGCTCTAGTCATCTTTAGAGAGCCTGCTCGTCCAAATGTTCTGCGTTAGCATTATAAGGGTCCTACTTGACTTGATTTTCAGCATTTTAGTTCATACTGTAGTATATTCTACTCTAAGCAGTAGTGGCATATTGGTCCATTCTCTTCTAGATTTCTGCCACTTCGGTCAGGAGCAGTTTCGTGTTGTTTCCTTCCTTAGTTGTCTTGTAGAGAGTTTGAAATGTTGTATAACTATATCATGACCGAAGCGTATTTATAAGGCCATAAGATGAATTGTAAATCCCGATGATGGCGTGTTTACCTGGTAAATTTGAGGGATACGTGGTGGTCTGGAATTAAATCCAAGCGCGGGCACACTTCCTTCCCACTGCTCGGAGCCAGCCGTCTGATACTGTGTTTAGTAGTTTATTAACGTTTATTAAGTTTAGTCGCATTTCGAGCACAAATGATTATAGACAACTTCAATGCTTTTAACTTCATTTTGCGTACAGGCCGAAATCTCAAAATTCGTAAGTTTCAGCTCTCTATTAGTAGCCTTTTTTTTATACCTATTTAACTACAGGGTACTTTCCTGTCAATCTTTAATGGTAATGTTCCAATTGCGTTCAGTGCTTCTCCAGCGTGGTGTTAATCTAAATGTTCCGAGTCTTACGTCTGGTTCTGTCGTTAAACATCGCTTTACGCGGCTGGCTCTTTCCAGCTTGAAATGAGGTGACTTTCGGCTTTGGGCCTATACTACCTCACTTGATTTCTCTAAGTTTAGTGAGCAAACACGTTGCTATTGTGTCGTCACAGGATAGTTTTTGGCCTATCTGAACTCCACCGGCAGTCATTAACGTCTTAGTACTCGTTCATATTCAGATACACCTTCTGGTATTTTGGCATTTCACTTGCTTATACTGTACCTATCTGGAAAGCGAGATCCTAGCTTTACGCAAATGTTAACAAGTCTCCGGAATAATGAACATTTTCTAGATAAAAGATAGCGATTTCTGCATAACTTTAAATCGAAAAAATCAACCTTAATGAATTCGAAATGTCAGTAATTTAGCCTATTGCTGATAGTTATTGTTGGTGATTTGGCTTTAAATAGACATAGAACGAATAATAAAATTAAACCATCCTCTATACATGACTACTCTCATTGCCTCAATCTGGATTCATTCGACACCAATTTCAGCTTTTAGTAGTTAAATAAGACCACGGTGCCCTGTGCACGTCTCATAGCAAAAATGCTCCATCTACCGAGCTCGACAATCTTCTATAAACCTCATATTTGCGTACACATGATATTCATGGAAATAACCTTAGTTTTATTTTGGGTAAACTCAAGAAATTCAATTTTTAAAATAAATAGTCATTTTGCCTTCATTGTGTTGGAAATATTATCGTGAACAATGATGTAGTGAACAGCATTTATGAGCTGAACTTGCCAAATCTTGTCTGGTCACTCAAGTTTCGTGTCATTTTGATTTATTTTTTAACTATATTGCTTCCTAGGGTATATCATCAAATAATCGCAACCAACAACGGGATTTAGAAAATATATCTAACTTGAATTAAAAAAAAAATAACCATACGCTTTTGCACGGAAATCCTTCATATACGCGACTATGATACAGCGATTATTTTAAAATTTCAGTTCACTTTGAAAGATATGTTATCTATTTGAGCCAGCGAGCTGAATGAAGCTGATTTGAATTGTTCTCCGCCAGACCTACACAATCTAATCTTCTAATATTTACGCTCTCATCTACCTGACTGTGTACCTACACGTTACATAGTAGAGGATAAAATCCGTGGGCTATAAACCTTGTGTCTAGGTAAATATAATTTCAGTACATTCCCAGTCACCACTGGTCATTACGGCGTAGTGCAAAACGAGAAATCCTCCGTCTGTTGATGAAGATACGATATGCCACAAGAGGTCGAACAAATTATTGTTTTGTCGAACAAATTGTGTTAATGCCAGTCTATGTGGCGTTTAAGATCGACAACGCATAGTCTCTATCCACTAAAATTTTTGAGGTTTTTTTGGTACGTCGCCTTTTTCGGCTCCTTTTCTCCTTTAGTCTGTACCACAAAACCTTATATCAGAGTTAAACAAACCAAGCTACGTGAATGAGCTGAAAATGTTTAGCCGACACGCACGAAGGCAAGTCTGCCTGCTCTCCGAAACCTTATGACTTAACCTTTAGAATAATTGCTTTGAGGACCGAAGTGGCAGGGCACTGTACTGCTGATCTATTATCTTACATCGCAAATAAAGTCTGCTTTTACTGCACGTCACGAAATCGTTGGCGTGCAAAATGTTCTTGGAGAATTGCAGTTGCTTATCTCACGAAAGAAGGTTATTAATAAGGAAAAAAAGACATAAAATGACTGCCCCGCGGGCAATACCTATTGCCTGACGCCTTTTCTTTCTGCGACCCTATGTTTCATAGCGACCGAATTACGATACAAGCTGTGCTAATACAATGGTTCTTGAATTAAAGTTGACTTGTGTAAAGTCGGTAACGACAAAGTATAGACGCTGGCTTGAGCGATGTAGTGATTTGTAGGTTTCATCCGTGGACATTTCACAGGCCGTCACCGTCGATCTGACAGTATAGGTTCAGTTTCTATCTTCTAAAAGAAATGTTTTGAACTTTACATCCGGGGTTTTAGGTAAGCATTGCATAAGACAAAAGTAACAGCTAAGGGGGTTATATGCGAATATCTATGCACATATATATATATATATACACTCAAATGTATAGTGCGGCGAACTGGACCGCGATTTACAAGTAGAATGAAAAAAATAGATTATCTTTTATTGGTACTGTATGTTCGGTATAAAGTATAAACCAATAAAATTGAAAAGCTGTGACCTATTGATACCTGTGTACTCACGTTCTGTCGATTGCGGCTGTCATAGCGTGTTAATTATGAAAGATATGATAGTTAGTTTCTTACTTAAAACATTCGCCTGCTGAAGCGGCCTCATAGAATAAGCGCTATTTTAGATTTTAAAAAATCATGTTACAGTGGGTACAACCTGTCCATTGATGAGTGCAGACCTTAATCTCGGAGCTAGATGAATAAAACAAATATCTCGAGTTGTACATACACCACCATTGCGCAAATTCGCATCCTACCTCTCGGATACCATAGGAATTTGCCAGGTTCAGTAAATACTAATTTATTTATTCATTTAATCGCACATACAATTCAAAAATAGAGGTTTGCTTTGAGTTCTAAGAAAAACACGTAAACACTGCATATTTTGTATAAATAAAAAAATAATTTTAAATCTCAAACGTTACAGACGTTTGAATTTTTTATACTCACTGTATTTACTGTCTATTTATTTATGTCTAACGTTTACATCAGGTTTAAGGCTTATTCATTAAAGGTAAATTTATTTGGCAAACAAAGTCAAACATGCCTATACTCTTCTGATTTATCAGGCACCATTCTTTGCTCAACATAGCATTTTATAACTTAATCAGTTTTCACTCAGTCTATTTGATAATCTTTAGAGGCATCTAAAAACTCTCTGATTTCAAAATCTACCGCCACCGCCAGCGCTCGCAAGCGTCATTGCACTTCTCTTACACCCACACATACCGACAGCCTCATTCCTTCGCTCTTTCCCACGGCGGTGCGTTGCTCCCTAGCGCCCTCTGCCGGCGGGTGAGAGGAATGGCCACCTACTTCCAATTGACTGATCTGCCTGCTTCTGCTACCGTGTCCGTTCCCGACGCAGGATCACCGCTTCCATAACATCAGCACAACGCTGCTACCACAGCCATCCGGTACTACCCTCCGTTCCGTACAACAAGCGAATGGGTGAGAGAGTAAACGGACGAGTGGAACCACTTCGTCGTATCAGCGGCCACAGCGACAACTAAGACGAAAAATTCCCAGCTGACGTCCCTTCGTGCCAGAAAGTAACCGGTAACCATTGCGGACTGCTGTTGTTACTGTTATTACTGGTGTTATTGATCTAGCGTCGCTTACACCGTTCAGTTTATCGACGTCTGATGGTGGTTATTCGTGCTAGCGGTCGCCGTACTGGCTCTGCTGCAGCTGAACACTACCTGTCTTTCTGGCCGTCCAGCGATCGCTTCTTACCTCAATGCCTATGATATAGATTTCTCATCACAATCTGGAGATTGTCCCGCTGCGGTATAGCATAGGAGTGGAATATACGTAACGATGATGCTGAATGTGATAGCGATGATCGCTACTGGTTGTTCTGTGCTCTACTAATTGATTGATTTCCACTTGAGGTCGGTATCGAATGGCAGAACCTCCAATAGTAGCAGCAACCATCGAAAAACCAGTTGTAGGTGGCTTAGGAAAGAGCACGACGCTAACTACTGCGCTCACAAAGACCGTCAGTTAGAAACACTGTCCGACGGCGGTGGCTGCGGCGCCAGCCAGCCCGGCAGCACTGACTCCCCCTTTTCTTCTCTCAACAGCGGAGTGGCGAGAGACGCGACGGCGTCAACCTTTTGCGATTCTAAAGAGGCAGAAACAGGCAGCCTCTAGCACCAAGCTGAACAACGTAGGAAAGAGCTAAGATTCAAAGGGTGTCCTGGCGCGCTGATCGGTGAAACGACCAGCGCCGCTTAGAACAGCAGCCACAGTCACAGCAGCCGCGGAGCTCAGGGCAGCAACTAAGCGGCAGTGGCCGTTGTTCGTTACATTGTCGGCTAACTGTGGCGCTAGTTAATAGTACTGTCGTGGTCGTTGTTGTTATTGTCACGTGTTTTTGCGAAACTCTGCGGTGGTTCAGTGCGGAGGTGCTGCAAAGGCGTCTGGTGTTCCTGGTCGCAACGATGCGATCGGATAAGAACTAGAGCAGACGAAAATCACATCGTGGCTCTGAGTGGCTGGTGGAAAGAAGCAGTCCCCGCGGTGTTCTAACTTCTACCACTCCGAAAAAGGACAGGTTTCCTTCCGTAATCCTTTCTTCCGAAAAGCTGCATTTAAGAGGACTGCCGTCTCGGAGGTGCTGCATAGGATTGGAGAACTTTGCGCACCTCCACTTCGTCGAAGATCGGGGAGCATGAACAAATAGTGTGACGAGGACGACGATTTCGTACTGGATTTGATGAAGCAAGCTAGATTTTCAGTGTTCTAGTTAAGTAAAGAAGCGGTGCACGTTATGAACAGGCTCCCCTAACAACCACAACGGCGCGTCAACTGACGACGAAAACGGCATCGTTCGACGGAAAAGAGAAATAGCTAGTTCAGGGCAGCGTAGGTGAAAGTGTCTTCCCCTAACAACTTTCTAGCAGTGATCTCGTTCAATATCGGTCTGTATTACCGTTGCCTGATTTGCGTGTTATTACCATAAAGACATTAAACAATTACAAATAACGCAACGTTTCGTAAAAATCGACAACAGCAAGGACGACAACGACAATCAGAGCAAGAACGCGCAATAAGCAGAGGTAAATTCGCCAAGAGGCCATTATAGAAATTTAGCGGTGCCTACTGGCTATTTGGCAAAGGTTCCTGTTGTGGTAGTGTCAGCTTGCCAAAAGAGCAAGATTAGGAAGTAACTGCGGTACTTTAGGAAGAGAACGAACCTTGGCGACTGACCGACCCAGCAACCGTTAACAATCACGCTCTATTCGTTGTCGAGAGTTTTAAAGAGAATTCACTGTTTTATTGCCGTTACATCGTGCGGTTGTTTCCCAGTTTGTTCAGTTGTGTTGTCAGCTAATAAGGCAAATGTGTTAAGAAAGAACTTTTTCGAAGGTGGGAGCTATTACGGGAGAAACCATTAAGGAACACCCATCGAGGATTTGCTGTGTGCGTTAGTGAATGTGAGGATAAAAAATAATTCGAGTTGGAATATTGTCACCCCCCCCCCTCCCGCCCCACAACCCTTGTGGTGGATTATTTTTAATATTATGTGATCTTTGCTTTGTGGTGAGCTAACTCAATGTGCTGGTTCTTCATATACACCGGATTCGTTCCACGGATATATAGATCAGCAGGAAACAGTTAATTAGTCGAGGATATCGACGGGAATCTACGCACGTACATGTTACACATTAATTATTGACTTCTTCAATTGGATATATTAATAGATACTCTATTTGAAAACTGTCAATCAGCTGGCACCGGACTGAAGCTAGCATAACTGGTGTTCCATCGGATACGCCGAAGAACGACGCATCTCAGTGGGTAAGTTTTTTATTGGAACTAGCTGACATTATTTCACTAAGATGTTTATAGGATTTAGATTTTGCACACCTGTGCACCGAAATGGTTCATTACCGAACCAACAAATGAGTGGATTCTATCAATTAACTTCCTACTTGGAACCTAGCCCTGTGCGGCGGCTTGAAGCTAAAATGAAGGATCTCAAAATCGAGGAATATTTTGAGCTACTTTTGATTACTGTAAAGCTTGCTCTCGCTAGGTTTTTTGATTCTTTGAACTTTATGTGTAATAGGTAAAAGCGAAACTAGTTTCATATTTTTCATCGGTTTACCTAGACGTTGGGTGAACAGGTGATCGGACTCATGCCCATATACCAATACATTGAAGTAAGCAGCGTAAAAGTGTCCAGAAATAATCGGTATAGATACCTGATTTTCAGCTATTTTTTTCCGATATTTTATACTTTTTGTTCTTTCAGTTTTCTTTCATATCACATCAGCAAATACTAAAAATGTATATCACCCTTTATCAGCTGAGTTTCCACTTTTAATATAAATACACCTAAATAAATGCACTTTGTTGTTGTTGTTGTCGTCATCTTCAAATTACATCTTTTGGGCCTATTCAAGGCTAGTTCTATGTAGTATATATAGGATGTAACAGACTGTTCAGTGATAAATAGGCCCCGCGGTGTATCTTACGATACAGTAGTTTTGACTAAAATTATAAATCGAAACTTTGTCTATTCTTGGAATAAACGAAGCTCCTAGAGAGCCGCCAAAAGCGTCAGTTTAATGGCATACGACTATGGCAAACTCGACTAGTTCCAAAACTAAATCGTTCAAGCTAAATTTTAGCACAGAAAACTTTCAAGCCGATGGACAATTGGGACCTGACGACGATATGGTGGTTATATATACTTGTATCTTGCTTACTAATATCTATAAGTTATGCGCTGCTGAAGGCCCAGGTACGTATCGATAACTGAGGAAATTCATTGGACTCTTTCAACCTGCGTGTTAGATTTGAATACTAACTCTGGCCCTTAGTTTTATGCCGTCCTCCATTATGCACACCTTGACACACTTCATACTTCTGTTGGCCCCTGTCAATGCATCAGCTCATATTTACGGCGATCGTTCTTGCGGTACTTGTACTGGCTGGTATTTGCCAATATTCTCGAAGGCAAGATTCGCGCCGTCCATCCGACGACCATCCATTTTTCCGGCGATACGTTTTTCAACAATTTCTTACATTTTTCGTTTATTTGGTACTGGCAGTTTTTTTTCGATCCGCAGTGGAATTCTGGGCGCAGTTTTGGGCGATGGCAATCGTTTACGCTCGATTAAGGAGCGTTCGTTTTGATATTTTCCGTGTTGTCTGTTTTGTCTGATCATCCGTTGTTCTATTGTTCGGGTTTAGTTCGTGCTTTCCCGGGCTTGCCGCCCGCTTGCATAAGCATGGCTGGTTTAGGAGAGAATTCGATTTTATAGATAAGTCGAAAACGAAGAATAAGAAATAATAGTCCTTGCTTCTGTTTGACCAACATACGTCCGCGCATCCAACGCTTTGAAGCACTGTTACTATAGTGTTTCCTCCACTGCTTCATTTACCGCCGATCAAGGCTGTGGCGGGGGATTCTGTCGACAGACCCTAGCAAAGTGCATTCAGCAGTTCTGTCCCATGTCCAGCTGACATCATCCCCAACTCGTAACCATAAGCGAGTAGCTGAATTGTTGTATCATCATCACTTTTGCCACATGTGTCAGTAACTAGCTTCTCTATAGTAATTTTCACTGCAAAGTTGTAGTAAAGTACGGGCAAGAGGTAAGCCATCAATGAGCATGATGGGTCTGATGCTGACAGTGTTGGTTCGCCATCAGGCCTACTTCACCTCGGACCCCCCGCGCGACAAAGTTCCTGCCAAACAGTTGGTAACTCTCGTTACTAATAACACTAGGCTACGTCGAAATGCCGGCCAAATACTGACGCTTAAATCCGATGGCCGTAGAGCTGTTGTGTTCTGGACGCATGTCAGGACGCGACGACCCCGTACCCACAACGAATACGACAATGATTAAGCGAAGGCGTTTACACGACGCTGATGCCAGCTGTTGACTGTTGGCTCGACGTTATTTCACTCGCAAAACTACTGTTGTTTTAGCGATGGCTGGTTCTCTTTGGACGACTCAAAGGACTTCATTCGATGGACCGTTGCGCTCTTGGCTTGTTCGATTGGCTTTTAAGGATACGTCTCGTCGTCAGCGTACGTACCGCTTGTGGGGGATTACACTACAACCCATCGCACTTAAGTGTCGACGACGAAAGTTGCTTATTGCTGCTTAGTAAACTTGCCGCACACAATTGTATAGTGGCTTACATTCGTATTGACTGTCGTAAGACCAGTCAGCAGTTGTATGCCCACTAAATGCCCAGAAATATGAGTGAGTAAAGATGTTAACGAGACGCCAGTAAGCCTGTACTTGAAATGAGGATACTTGCAGCGCCCTATAAAGGTTGTGGTTTCTAGTTGTGTGTCGATAGATTAATCAACAGATTAAGAATATCTGATTCTTTAGCTTTGTCTGCTATAGTATCTTATTAAAACTAGCACTAGAAACATTCCGAGTTAAATTTGAGTCTCATTTGTTTTTTTCTTCACACTTGTTATACTGAAGGATAACTTTTTCAAGTTTAGCAAAATATTTTCTCATGTGGCCTCTAAAAGATTGGCAGTGGAACGTAGCTTTGGGTACAGTTTGTTTAATAACCCTTTTATCATGATTTGGATTATTAGGTAGTCAGTTGAACTTGGTCTTTGCAAATACAATTTCAATAACTACTCGAACCCAAATCAGAATTTGCGTACGCTTTTTTTTTTGTATTTATTCTATGGCTCTCCAGTCTTTTGATTGAGAGCTATAACCATACAGCGCCCAAAACGATTGCCAATTAAGCTCAGTATATTCTGTGTATTTACTTCCAAATAGCAAATTTCTGTCGAACTAAAAGGCCGGCCCACCTTTGAAAGCTCATCTCATGTAAATTCATGCTGAAGGAAATCACCATTGTATCACTTGCCATCCGGTAAATGGGTTAGGATAGGTGCAAACGTGATCTTGCCTCTCAGTGTATTACAGTAAGGCTTTGGACATCAAATTCATCTTTCCAGATGGGAAATTGGCCTGTCCAATAACCTGTCGCTTCCCGACAATTTGTTTATTTGATTTGCGTGCCACCTAAGACTGACGAGTGGACACTCGGACACGTGTCGCAGAGTTGCATTTATCATTCCAAGCGGAGCTGAAAATAACTAGGTGAGGCAGTTAAAGTCGATTTAATATTTTTAATTGTTGCAATATATTTTAGCTATACAAACTTAAACTGATTATTATAATACCAATATGGTTTCTTCTAGATGTAATATATCCAGGAATGTACAAGCTAGGGTGACAGCTAATCGAACACGTCCAATGAAATACATACAATATGGTAGAATTGGGTGACTTGGAGTGAGTGGGCCAATGTTCCTTTTTTCACCAATGCAAATAGCTACGAAGCTTAAAAAAATACAATAAATTAGCTTATATTCCAGCTAACGAAAAAAAACTTCGAAATCACTCGATTGTAAAAGAGGCCTCAGTTTCTGATAATTACTAAAAATATTGACCCTAATCATGACTAAGTTTAAGGACTAGCCGCGAATTAGCCATTTCGCGTCCAATAGCAACGAGACAGATCGTTATGGCCATACATTCTTAGCACTTAGACAATTTACAGCTAGCTAAATCGTCGTAGTCGTTGCCTGTATATCCTCCATATCTAAGAGTCGTGCTACGTTCGGTAGGCCTGCGCATCTGTTGTACGGAACGGTGCGTTACTGAATGACGTTTTTAGCTCACGAATAACAGCAGCGCCCTTGTTGGCTCTGTTCGAGGCATCGCCACCATCACAGGCGATGGCAGTCGGCCCACGCTATGACCCAGCAACCAAGCTAAATATTTTCCCTGGCAGACAACATTAATTATGTTTCGTTTATTATTATTATTATTAACTTCTTTTCATATATTCATAAACGTAAGACGTCTCGATACGCCCCGAGGTAGGCAGAAAAAGTTCACAGAATTCTACGCAGACATTGCTTTCAACCGAAGCCAGGATATTGCATGATTTCCTTTCTTTCTTTTTTAATTTCGCATTGATTCTTTCATATAACATTACAGTGCACCGGCGTTAGTTTGAGTCAATTCATTCGAGTTGGAGCAACAAATACTTAGTCGTGGGAATAGAACCCTTGGGTGGCTCGGGTAATATTACTATTTTTATTACATTTTTGTTTCTAAATGTAGGGGTTTCAGTAGTTGCCAGAATACTAATGCAAATCTCGTCTCCTTTTAGGATCGGAATAAGCAATCTGAAATGATACACACGGATTCCTATGCTATTCAATTATTAGTCAAGTAAAGCCATTTCTACTTTTCAGCATCGCTGATAGAAAATGTCCTGGAAACGCCGGAGCTGCAAGAAAAGCCAAAGGCAAGGTGCCTCCTTCTGTAGCGTATACATTAGGCTGATGGTACATCCGAAATATATGTATTTATGTGTAATGGGATACAATCGTATCCGTGTGATGTTAGATGGAAATGTTCATCCGACAATAAGTAATTGTACAACAGATAGGACTCAAATTCGTAATTAGCTATAGATACTTTTAGAATAAAATTAACGACGAAAGTATGAACTGGTGTTATTTAATTTAATAAAACTTGTTCCCTTCAATCCGGAACTTTTGTTAATCGAAACTGCGCATATTGTGTTTTATCTTCTATATTTTGACGCGCAGAGATCCATAATCCAACTTCGTCCGGTATTGGGGAAGCGTTGTTAGGGGATAAACCCAACGAAAACCGCTACCTCAATTTGCACAAAAATGTTGATGTTTAACTAGGCAAATGTAAGCACGTTGTTTATTTTCATCAATATTAGCTATTCTTTCTAATTTCGAATATTATTGTTCGGAA